GGATGAATACCTTTCAACGAAAATGAACTCAAGTCATTTCTTGAAACGTGCAAGCTAAAACCGACGACCTTGTGGTTTGTTTTATAACTTCGTATTTTAATTGACGCTTGTGAGTAATAGTACAATTAGAGCGAGTTGAAAAAAAAAATGACGTCATCGACCATGTCTTTGGTCACTTTTCACTTGTAAAACTGAAACATTTTTAAATACTGGAGATCCCGAATCCGACTTCTTTTCAGTATTAAACAAGCTTTTATAGTATATAACATATTATTTAGTTCATGGAGTGATTTCAATAGAACTGTAAACGAATAAATAAATACAATTCGAAGCTATTGATTCTTTATTATAAAATGTGCGTTTGTTAATTGTAAAATTAAAACTATGAAATTGTAAAAAAAATATTTAATTTTTGTTGAATTTGACGAAGAATTTTAAGACAGGAGATCCCGAATCCGACTTTTTTTCAGTATTAAACGAACTTTTATTCTATATAACATAGTATTTAGTTCATGGAGTGATTTCAATAGAACTGTAAATTAATAAATAAATAAAATTCGAAGCTATTGGTTCTTTATTATAAAATATGCGTTTGTTAATTGTAAAATTAAATCTATGAAATTGTAAAAAAAATTTAATTTTTGTTGAATTTGACGAAGAATTGGTTCTTAAAAATTTAATTGTGATTATTGATCTATTTGAACCAGTTATTTCAACACACTCTTTACAATTAAAGGTATATTATTTAGCTGAAACATTAATTAAGTTACCTTAATGAATGACACTAGCGGATCCAGAATTTAATTTGGGGGGGGGGGCTTCAGCCCGAAAGATTTTTTTTCATATACATTTAACGATAATTAATTTTTTTAAAAAAGAAGGTAATTAACTACCTATATGAAATGGTGTTTAAGTAAGTGGTTCTTGAAGTCCTATTAAATGTAATTAAACGAACAAGAATACTTTAAGAGGTTGTTTTTAATATTTTTTTCTGTATATTTTACCATTTTTTGGGGGGGAGGAGGAAGGGGGCTTCAGCCCGAAAGCCCTCCCCTCCCCTCGTAGATCCGCGAGAACGAATAAAAATTTTTTTGTCCGTCCGCCGTACGCACATTTTCTCCAAAACTACTGGACCGATTTTTTTCATATTTGGATATAAAATCAGAGGTCACCCGAGGATGATCCTCCTTCATCGGCATTACTATCCGCCTTTTACTTTCAAAATGGCGGCCGAAAAACCTGCGTTCCTATAGACTGTAGCTCCTAAACGAATATACCGATTTCAATGAAACTTCGCTAAAGTCATTTTCTCGACGTCCTTTAAGTTTATCTATATAACATACTTCAACGAAAAGAAGCTGGAAACAAAGTTACGAGGGATGGTAAAAAAATCGGACAATTAGGAGCAAAGATATGGTCTCCGGTCTTTTTTAATATGTTCTACTCCAAACTTTATATCCTTTGTTTGGTTTTTAAATTTTGAATGTGTTACAGAAGTAATGCTATGTTTTTTTAGCATATTACTAATGATTAAAAAAAAAAAGTATAGTCCAATAATTGGAATAACCTTTTATTTATTTTTCTTTCTAACTAGGAAGGTAATGTTACTTTTGATTGTTTGGAAATAATAAACCATTGTGAAATAATTTGCATCGTTTTTTATATACAATTATACATGTATGGACTTTAGGAGTTATAAGAAATAGCTGAAATTCCATCGGTCCAATAGGACCGTAGTTAATAAACTCCATCATGACAAGAAAAAATCTAATAACTTCAACCAAATATGGTGCTAAAAAGGGTAAACTCCTAAATTCAACTCTAAGCTCATCGATGACATTGGAAATTCATCGGTTTTTGTAGTCCGTGGATCCGTTGAATAATACCTCAATGTTGTTTATTCTCAGCTCACTTTACATATTTATATTTATGGATGATAAATATTCAGGACGTTAATCTAATATAATATAAAGTTTTTATTAGTGCCGACGTTTCAACCCAAACATGTGGGTGTCATCATCTTCGAATAACACGCCCTGATGATGACCCACATGTTTGGGTTGAAACGTCGGCACTAATAAAAACTTTCTAATTACTGCGTCCTGAATATTTTTCACCCATGATATGTAGAACAGTCGACTACCTTCAATATTTATATTTAGTTTACTTTCTATCTATTTTTATTTCAGTTTTGAAATTCACCAATTCAGAAGGTATGTATTATGTACTTATATACTTTTTTATTTTTCACCTGATTTGTAATCTTCCTGGATAATTCAACTTCCGCTGGATCCAATCGATTGATGCAATACGTCGATGGACGTTGCGCTGAGCTTGTACAAACTGATGGAGTTCAATGAAGTGCTCTAGATTTTTTTTTTTTATATTTATTAGGCAGTGGTATAATGATAAAATTTGTTATTAATGAAACCGGGATTCGGGTTAGCAACTAGAATTTTAGCACACAAGAGTCCATCTTTATTTTAGCATTTTTATACAAATATTTTAGGTACTACATTTCAAATTAAATACCATTTTTCTTTTAACATTAACTCATTTTAGGGCAAAACCCTCACTTTCGGTACGCTTAAGGAAACTGTAAAGTATGTTTGTACCGTTTTCAATCGCGTGATTACTTGGTTCAAAAATTTCGTTTCTGTTGTAGAGAAATAGTTGATTGTAGACACTATGGTTTGGAAGTTGTTTGGACTGCATAATATAAAAAATAATAATTTTCTTTAGTGTCTATGTTTCAGCCATTATTTTTAGGCCTTTATATCATATTTACATATTTTTTTTTCATATCTTGTTATTGTATTGCTAATATGTTTAGTTTAGTTCTCAGTTTTCCTTCCCTCAGCCTTAATGACGGCTGAAACGTTGGTATAAAAGAAAATAATATTAATTAGGAAAGTAGAATTAGAAAAATCGCAGAACATATATAAGTAAACTTGCGGTGGTCTGGTCCATGTTTTTCTCCTTGTTTCCTGGATTGAAACATTTTCAATCCGAAAAATCATAATCCTGTCGAAATGTGCCCCCCTCAAAAATTCAAAACTCAGTAAAAATGTATCCCTTTCAAAAATTTTGATGACGCAACTGATTCCATCAAACCTTTCCAGAAGAGTCTAGGCACCCCTGCCTTACGGTAAAAAAATATTATATCATATAATAGTATATTTATTGTATATCCTATTATATAATGCAGTATTTTTTGACCGCACCTCCGAATAACTTCTGTAATTAGATTCTACCGTCAACCATCTCCATACTATTAACATCAATATACAGAGCCTGGTTATGAATTAATCTGAAAAGATATTCACTATTCATAAAAGAAAATTATATCCAAGGGCATAGTATGACGCCTTATGATATAGTATTTTGTGTAATGTACCTGACTCATTAATGTAATTTCATGCTAATTTGTGACGTGATTCTGGGAGTATATCTTACATTTCCTTATCCTCTTCCGGTACGAATAATAGTACAACTACAGATAAATAAAATAATAAAAAAATAATACAAGTTTTGATAATTACGCAATCGAAATTGTTTTCAATTTATAGTAATTTCTCTTGACGTGTCGAAAAACAACCACATTTAAAGGCGATCTTTAAGCAATAAATAAAACTGCACTCCAATAATTTAATATTATATATTAAATAAATTAAACGATTGAATTGTCAAAATAAATAACATCTATATTAAATTCAATAAACCTAAATTAGAATAAAATTGGCATTATTCCTTAATTAAAAAGACATTGCTTTCGTTATAAATTTATTCCTAATAAACTTAAACCATATTAATGTAAAAGGATTATTTTATATAAAGATATTTGAGTTTAAGATTATTATTATAATATTTTAAGGCGTAATAAGTTTTAAATAAAATGATGGTTATCGTCATATTCATTGCAAGAAGGGATGATTAATTTCAGCAGGCAAAACGGATTTTTCAAATATGGCTGGATTTCCCGCTCTTCTGGAGGTCACTGTATTCCTAATTATGAATTAGCTCAGACACAACTTTCTAATAACATTTAATGATATTAACGTGTAAATATTTGTAAATTGCAAATTATTTTTTGATTTTATTTATATCCTAATATTTGCTGACGTAATTTGCAAGATTAAAATATATAGTCTATAAATAGCCATTTATGAAAACCACAATAATATAATTTCATAAATAACTAATAATTAAACAAGATATTTCTGTTTTTAAATATACATAAATTATAAAGAATCATCAGATATTGTTAAGCGTTGATACAACATTTATAATATTCGATAATGCAACCATTCATTTAAGTAATGGCGTTTGCACTCAGAGATGGTTGTTCGTTTACTGATTTGGCTCTTATTACAAAGACGTGATAATTTTTGTATTAAATTGCTTTAGTAGTGTTTAATATTTCCAGGTTTAACCTATGTGTCGAATCTAGAGACTTTTATTTTTTCGAGTCCGTGTTATTGTAGTCGAAAGACAACAATGTTCAACGATCTCATCTCACAGTCAAAACATATAATATTCAAGCTTGCTTGCGCTGTTTTTACTGATTAAGTTTTATAACATTGCTCGGTATCATCTTATTTTGTGATATAATTTTAGGAAATTGTGATAAATGTGTCTTTTTGTTAGTGTAAGTGAAGAGAAACCTCTGTAGCCCAGTGGCACAGTTATTGATGGTAGGTATTGTTTGTGTAGTTATCATTGTTTCACAACGTTACTTTATATGAGTGGAAGTACTTTTTCAAGCTTAAAAAAACGGTTTAATCTTATTTGTTTTTTTACCTTTGGCATGTACTAAGTTTAATCCACATGTCTTTTAATTTGTGCTTTTCCTCTATCAAAATGATGCAAGTGAAGCTTTCATCAACATTTCATATTTATCATTTTTTAAACCTTAATTTCACTTTGTAGCTATTATAAATCATATTATAATTGTCCAAATGAGTTAACTCGGCGATTCATTGATTAAGTTTCATAATGTAATTTAAGTTGTATAATTACACTAGTTCCGAAGCTAAATATATTCTTATTTTAAAAAATTAGAGCTATAAAAGAGAGATTCTATCTAGAGAAGTGTAATAGTGAAATTGAAAAACAGCTGTAGTTACTTTTGAACTTGAATATAATCTTTTCATCATGAATTTTAAGTTGTAATGAAGTGGTTTTATATTGAGAATCTTTTTCATGTTTTAAATATTCACTTGGGGGAGCTTAAAATCCTCCTGTGTTCTTTGATCTGTGTTGATAAGTGTAAAATTTGTTTTAATTATGTCATTAGATGATTTCAAGAACTGTATAAGTGAATTTAATACCATGGCTGACACCAGAAGGCGTGTAAAATTGTATGCTTTGAACGCTGATCGTCAGTGGGATGATCGCGGTACTGGGCATGTTTCTTCGAGTTACGTAGAGAGGCTCAAAGGGATATCACTCTTAGTTAGAGCAGAATTAGATGGTATATCAAAATAAATTACTTAATAATTTAACGATTTATATACATTTATATTATTGTATACTAAACTTGAAATTTCTGTTTATTAGGTTCATTACTTTTAGAATCTAAGATCCTTCCAGATACAGCTTATCAGAAACAACAGGTACTATTCTAAATTTATGTTTATAATGTTTATTGATAACCTTATTTAATATGTTAAAGGCTGAACATCATTTTATGTTAATATGATTGTTATTTATTGTTGCCGGGTAATACATACATTTTACTTAAAAAACTGATAATATTTTCAGTTTTGTGTTGTTTATTTTCAAATTATTTTGAAGTTTTATTGTTGTATTTTTTTAAAATAAATAATCCTTACTATAATTATAATTATTTATTTAATTATAGTTGATTGATAATGAAAAAGTTATAAATTTTTTTGCTTATCAGTTGACTCCATTGTAGGTTAGAGAAGTGGAGTATGTTTGTGTGTATAGATGTTTGTTTATTTACCTTAGCATGAATACTGATGGCTTCTGAATATTTGTTTTGTACATTAATCATTTATTTTAGATTGAACTATAATTTACTATCTTATATCTGTATAATTTTATTTTTTTTGTATTTTTCAGGATACATTAATAGTTTGGTCAGAGGGCGATAATTTTGACCTTGCTCTGAGCTTTCAAGAAAAAGCAGGGTGTGATGAGATTTGGGAAAAAATATGCCAGGTAAATTATACATTTTCTTTTAATAATTATGGTTGCTCATTATGAATTCTAATTAAAATTGTTGAAGTCCTCATTCATTTTGATATTTACAAGTGATTGCAAGTTGATTAAATAGTCCTAAATTAGAATGATATTCTTGAAGCATTGAATTTTACACATAAATTAATATAATTAGTGATTGTGATGACTTTAAAACAAGTTGTATGAGGACTTATTGATTATAAATAATAAATTTAAAATTGTGGCTGGATTTATTAAATTGATAGTAGTTTATCAGATAGTGTTTGCAGTCTTTCTAGCTTTTGTGAGTGATTACATTTAGCTTGTTAAATTTCAAAAATCATCACACAGATATGACGTAATTTTTATTTAAATTCTGAAAATTTGATTACGATTTTGATTTGTTTAACAATTGAAGACTTCCAATATACATCAAGAATGCTTATCTCTTGCGGCATCTTCCTTATCTTTAGCACTATAGTGTTAAATGTGCATTATATTTAATCTAGATTTACGTTAACATAAAAAATTGTTTTTATACATCTTAAATATTGTTTTCTGTCCCTTTTGTTACTCAATTAATTTTCCATTGTTATAATAAATAAACATCAAACGAAAATAAAAATCTTGGGCTTTTTTTATCTCAGTTAAAAATACTCATTCAAGATATCAAAAAAATATATCGGCTTCATTACAGTTAATTACTAATCAGTGTAAAGTTTATTTTAACTTGACAATTGGAGATAGTGTCGAATTACTGTGTTATCGTTATTATTTAGTTGTGTTTATGATGTATTTTATAATGTATCACAATCCAACAATTATCCACCGAGTAAATGTCAATAAATATTTCTAAAAATATATTTTAAAAGTTAATTGATGTTGCCATGAATATTGAAAATATAAAATCAAAAAAGAAAATGATAGAAACATGTATTAAATTATGTTAATATAATTTTCATTTTGCATTTTCTTGCAAATTGTCTTGAATTGCATTTTCACTGCTTATGGATCTATTTGAATTGTATTATGTATTTTTCATTTTCTTAACAGCTAAAATAAGTTATTTTTTAAAAAATATATTGACTTTGTCTGGATTATAATAAGTATAGTTATTCGTGTACTTGTATTTGACCCGACTTTGCAGGTCTTCATCAGGGATGTGTGTTCATCTAGGAGTTTCACTTAGAACTCCAAGTGAAACTCTATGTTGAGTGTTGAAATTCTAAGTGATATGTTCTAAGTGAAACTCCTAGATGAACACACCTCCCTGATGAAGACCTGCAAAGTCGGGTCGAAACGTCGGCTTTCAATAAAATAGTTTTACCACTATTTAGCCTATTTATGACTGCAACACCGGACCATCTCCTTCCATTAAATATTCATGTTTTCAGTCTTGATTGTCGGTGAGATTTATGTTAAAGTTCCATGTAGCTTATATTCTATTTATTTACGTTTTTTTTTTTTTTTTCGATTTTAGGTTCAAGGAAAAGATCCGTCTGTTGAAATAACTCAAGATATCGTAGAAGAATCTGAAGATGAGAGGTTCGATGATATGTCTGACACTGCCCCTCCTATAGAGCTCCCGCCTTGTGAGCTTAGTCGTCTAGAAGAAATAAATGAGGTAATTTCTGTCTTTTCTTTTTTTTTTTTTTTCATGTAACCATTCTATAATCAAAAATTCATTAGTATTCAACATAAACAACTTCTTTGAGGTATCAAATCCCCAGTTAATTGAAATGGGTTTGTGATTCTATTCACTGTGATGGTGTTTAATTATAAACACATTTGAACGATTATTTTTATTAAGATATGAATGTATGAGTGTTTAGTTTAATTTTTTTTTTTAAATGAATACGTTTGTAGTTAATTGATAATTCAGTTATTAATTTTTTATGATATGAATATTTTGATACAAGCCTCATCATTATCAGAATTTTATACTTATTTACTAAAGTAAACAGAATGAATAATTAAGAAGAAAATATGTCATTTTTTTTTGTAAGTAGTGAAGAATATTTAGAATCATAAAGATTTTGTCATTATTCCTTTTGACTTTTTCATGAATTTGCGTTAAGTACTTGAATAATTTGACTATAAATCAATGATAGCATGTTTTTTGTATTATCTATTTTTTAATGAGTTTAGAATGTTTAGGTTTATTATCCCTTTATAGTCTTATGTGACAGAGGAATTAATTTATTCATTTCAAACACAACATTTGTGTAATTCTTGCTGGTTTTGAGATGAGATTTATTCCTGGCACATTTTTCATAGACACATCTTTTAATTTAAGAAAATAACTAAACTAACTTTAATAACTAAACTAAAGATCAGGGTGGTGACCAATCTGGAAACCTGGCAAAATATCAAAAGTCAGGTAATTTTCTAAACGGGGAGAAGTCAGGGAAAAATTTTCAATTTTTCACAAGTTTCTATTTCAATGTAAAATAATTTTTCAAACAGGTTCAAAAATAAAATTGTATGGAAAAATAAATGTATTATTAAAAATAAATAACAATTATAATCATACGTCCCTTTATATATAAATATACTGTGTGCACAGTTGAACCCACAGGAAAATGCTTTCTAAGCATGGGCGATAACAAAACAAATTTTTAACCTATGTTTTTGAAGGGTTATTAAATTTCTGATAAAACTTTCTAAGCATGGGCGATAACAAAACAAATTTTTAACCTATGTTTTTGAAGGGTTATTAAATTTCTGATAAAACTTTAAAAATATTGTGTATATATCGAACCAGTTGTAGCAAATTTATAGTGTATATTATACTTCATATGCTAATTTTAATGATGGTTCATTTACCCGTTTACATTGCTTTAGTTCATCATTTTTCTCATTGGTTTTCAGAAAAATTAATCTAATTCAATGGTTTTTTTAATGGACATATTTAAAGTTGTATAATTATGTCTGAAATTTGTAGAAAAGTCTTGTGAGTGGACAGATATTGCTTATTTAAAATCTTTCATTGAATAATATTGCATTCCAAGCAGAAAGTGTATTCACCCCATAAATATATATATTCAGAGAATATAAATAAATTAGGTAAAATAATGAGTAAATAAAAATATTTAAAAAATATATAAAAAAATAAATTTATTGATAAAATAAGACAAAACAGGCTTTCACACTGTCCTATGTAGGAAAAGTAGGAAAAATATTCATAAGATCAAGAAGAATGCGTATTTTGGTTTATTATTTTTAATAATGAACCATTGTAATCTTTAAAAAAAAAATCAAAAACTTACCTCAATTTGGTAATAAATATACAGTGGATATCATTTATAATGATTTTACTGGAGTAAACTTCATTGTTATAAACGATCATGGTCGCTATATTCATCCACCTTTGACTGTCACTAGCACTGGTCATTATCGTTGAAATCGAACTAGGGTAATGAAAAAAATTTAAGCAAAATAGGCTTAAAACAGTGCTTTTTTGAGAAGAAAAACAAACCTATACTATTTGTAACATATACATCTGGGTCAAAATCTGGCTGGCAAGCACTCGTTCGTTTGACTCGTGGTGCTCCTTAAAAAGCATTTATTAATCAGAAATGTCACAGTTGGTGTCATATGGATAATTATTACGCTGTTAATAGTAATAAAGAAACAAAATTACTTATAAGAAACTACATTAATATTAGAATCCTCTGTAGCTCACTCTATTCTACAAGAGAGAAAATTAAAACTTTATATGTCAAGTATCAACTTTTACCTCCTCTCAGTTTATGAAAATAAAATAAAAGTGATAATAATAAATTACTAAAAGTTTAGTTTTGTAAAAAAAAATCCTAATCAAGCTTAAAAAATGCTTCCTCTAAAAATTAAAATTTGTTATTTAAAAATTTATTTTTTTTATTTACTCGAATCATTTTATAGTTGATTCGTTGTTATGTGTAATAAATAAATTTCGTTATAAATTATACATGTTTAATGATGTAGAGATGGTTGACCGTTGTTATAATATGAGAAGGAGTTGATCGGAAGGGTGCGGTAAAATTAATAACAAATTAAACAAGTAGAATTATTTAATTTTTTGCCGACATTTTGATCCACTTTGCAGTTCTTCATCAGGGCGACAAAAGATACAAAACATGGTGAAAATAAAATAAATTAAATAATTAATTTATTAAGTAAATTAAATAATTCTACTTGTTTAATTTATTATTAATTTAACCGCTAGATAGGTACCGCTTACTACTAGATAGGTTAGTTTGCCTCGGTCTCATAACCATTGTAAATTCCTGACTTTCATTAAAAGTAAATATTTTTTCATATCCCTTGTTTATATTATTATAAATCATGTTCAACTAATTTTTTTAAAAATATTTAAATGGGCTATAAATTAAAAAAAAAAAAGTAGAAACTTCACAATTTACTTATAGAAAAAAATTAATCTTTAACTGTTGTGTAATTTGTCAGTTCTTTTTCCATTTTTCTCAACAAATTTATTATTTTTGCAATACTTCTCCTTAATTTTTGTAAGTAGTAAACTTTAAGTAGTAAATAGTACTTTTCTATCTTTTTTCAAATGATTTTCAGGCACTAGGAAGTAATTATTATATCTCCATTTTGTTTTCTTATTTTCAAAAATCAACCATTGTGATCGACCAAAAAATTAAAAAACTTAACCCCCTCTCAAAATTTGAGGTTTCACGTTTCAGGATGCGTAGAATTCGAAAAAACGAATAAAAATTTTTTTGTCCGTCCGCCGTACGCACATTTTCTCCAAAACTACTGGACCGATTTTTTTCAAATTTTGATATAAAATCAGAGGTCACTCGAGGATGATCCTCCTTCATCGACATTACTATCCGCCTTTTACTTTCAAAATGGCGGCTGAAAAATCTGCGTTGTTATAGACTAGCTCCTAAACGAATGTACCGATTTCAATAAAACTTCACCAAAGTCATTTTCCCGATGCCATTTAAATTTATCTATATAACATATTCCAATGAAAAGAAGCTGGAAAAAAGTTACGAGGGATAGTAAAATTAAATTCCAAATAACTCAAAAAGTTTACATTTTTTTGTAGATATTGTAAATTGTTTTTTAAAGGGTTATGAAATTTTCTATTAAAAATTGTTAAAATCAGATAATTAGGAACAAAGATATGGTCTTCAGTTCTTTTTTATATTTTATACTCCAAATGTTATATCGTTTGTTTGGTTTTTAAATTTTGAATTTTTTGCTGAAGTAATGGTATTTTGTTTTAGCATATTACTAATGATTAAAAAAAAGAGTTTAGTCCAATAATTGGAATCACCTTGAATTTATTTTTCTTTGTAACTCGGAAGGTAATGATAAACCATTGTGAAATAATTTGCAGCATTTTTGTCTTTATGCCCGATGCTATAAAGGATAATGGCTAAATAAGCCTTTTTAATGAAACACATTATTATTAATATACAATGTACCAGATCCACACCACCTGTTATTTCAACATCGACTGAGCTAAAATGCGTCAGTATGATTGATACATGTAAGGGTCATCATGATTGAAGCAATCCTTGTCAGTCATTTGACTGTCATTCATTACATCGTGTAGGGTCCGCTTAAGGCCATACCAGAAGAGATCATAGCTAGATGGCTAATGGGAGTGGGGTGGCCGAGCAGGCTAACACATGTGGAAAACATGATAACAAACTGATAACTGAAGAAAAAATTATATAATATTTACAAGTTACAAGTCCTGGTGTCGGGAAAGCTTTTACCTCAGGCATTTATCCCCTAACCTCTCTCCTTGCCCGGAAAAAGCACTGTATAGTCTGAAAGAGGGGACAAAAAAAAGCAAGGTTGGTGGGTGAAGACTTGTGAGCCAGGTTACCTTGGTGTTTGAAGCCTCTGTAAAAGTGGTCACATATCTCTTACGGGTCTCCTAAAGATTCCAGTTTGTTCCTCATTTCACTATGTATGAAAGATTTTTAAACTTTAAACAGAAAAATAATACTCCATTAAAATTTTTCGTTCTTTTCTACTTTAAGCATGCCATAGAATTTTAGAAATGTTTTTACATTTGGATTAAAATATTTCAGTAACTAAAAATCTGATATGCATAATATTGGTGGGTAAAATGTTCAAAATTTTATCTTCTTTGTAATGAGCTATTATACAAAATTATATCTTAACATGAACGCCATGTTAGAGAGGCGAAAAGGGAAAACAAATTTTATTAAAGAATGGACTTAAATATCTCAGAAACTATAAATTGGACCTGCATACAGAAATATCTCAGTAACTATAAATCGGACCTGCATACAGTAAGCTAGGGAAATGTTCAGCATTTCATAATCTTTGTAATGAGCTATTATTCAAAAGTGTATCGGAATGAGATACTGTGTTACAGAGGCAAAAATGGAAAAATAGTGTCGAATACCAACTGATAACGATTTTTACTGAAGATATGAATTTTAAATATCTCAGAAACTAGAAATAGGGCCTGAATACTGTAAGCCAGTGAAATGTTCAAAATTTTATCTTCTCTGTAATGAGCTATTATTCAAAACAGTATCTTACAGCGAAGCCATGTTGGAGAGGCGAAAAGGGAAAAAGATAGCATCACTAGTATGCTTAAATTAGAAAAGAGCCAAACTTTTTAATCAAGATTTTTTTTTCTGTTCCACATCTCGTAAATTTTTGACCGTCTGAACTACCCCTCAGTCGATCTCGGGCTGTTGCTTTACAGTTTTCTGAATGCTGCATTTTCGTTAATTTGATCTATACATTTGGTTTTTGGCCTCCCTTGTGGTCTCTTGACAACTATTGAGGCGTTTGTTGTAGCGTAGAGCCTTCCTGATGGATTGCTCAGAGCTGTATGTCTTGCCCATCTTAACCTTCTACCATTGGATATTGACGGATCAGTTTCTGTAAGCAGTTCTTTATTGGTTCTTCTCTTCCAGGCATTAGTACTTTGGTACCATAATTCTCCAGTTATCTAGTGTGTTATTTTCCACCCAAAGTTTCAATACTTCTTTCTAGAGTACTGGTTAGTGTAATATCTTTGCCTTGCAGCCTTAGATCATTATTGATTTCGTTGTAGTATTGTATGCTTTTAATTTGAGATGCTTAGAGATTTTTTGATATTTTAATACCTTTGAAAGAGATAAGAAAACTCTGTTTATGATAGATTGTTTTTTTTCTGATCATTGATCATTTATTGAGGTTATTTTGGAGCCGAGGTATTTGGATCATCTACTCCTAGAAACTTCCCCTTCAGTGCAGTTCCTGTTACTGGGGTGAAGTTTTTAGTTCACTATCATGTATTTTTTTTTATATTCCTTTACTTATAGCTTGATTTGTTTTAATAGAACACATATGTGAAGCAAAATATTGGAGTCATAATGTAAATCAAATTATTGATTAGCGTATAATGAATCTAATTTGTTCTTAAAATATTGCAGAATCACTCAAAATTTTGGTACGTAAACAGATAATCTTAATTACAAAATTTTAGACAATTTGTTTTCTCAGTATAAAAAACTAAGTTTATTCTTTAATTATGGAAATTTTTATGTTTTATTTAATTTTTAATGCAATATTCTTGTATATGCTAAAGCATCAGTCAGTAAATTTTGATATTGAAGGAAGTTTATCAACTATTCTACATATCATGTGTGACAAATATTTTGGATGCAGTCATTATAAAGTTTTTATTGGTGCCGACGTTTTAACCCAAACATGTGGGTCATCATCAGGGCTGAAAATGTTTAAATACAATCACAGATATAATATTATACGATTAATGGTTAATAATAAACTATAGTGATTGATGGTACATGAATCTTAACTAATAGTATATTACAATTGTCTTTATTATTAATATGATTTGGCTAACCATTGTGTTCCTTCAATCAAACTGTTATATTCATATTGATTGGCACCTCTTGTTTATTTTCATTTCATCACTAGCCAATAGTCACAATTCTGTAACCATAAGAAACAATACAAATCTTGTACACATCTTAAATATTTAGCCAGCAAATTATTTACATTCTACAGAAATGTTACCTCCCTCCCCCCACCCCCTCTGACTATGTTTACCTACCTTTAGTTATCTGAAAAAGGACAAGTGGGAAATCCTTCCCTGACCGTTTCACTTACATACCAAATGAATACCTTCAGTGCTCAAACAACGGTTAGTAAGAGAAAATATTACAATTGTTATAAATGGGCGTGGGGGCCGAATGGGCTAACGTGTGTGCACTGCACCGCCCTTGCCCGGCAACCTGATACATAAGACTTAAGATAAAAAAATAGTCACGAGTTCGCGTCCCGGTGCCCGGAGTAGTTTTTAAATCCCCACCCACACTTCCTGGCCCAGGAAAACCCCCATATAGCCTTCAAGGTGAGGAAGGAGAAGACAAAAAAAAAAAAAAAAAAATGTTATAAATGGATTATATTCATTATTTCTAGTTTGTATAACTTTTTACATATTTCATTTCTAAAATTGTGTATTGTAATATTAGTTAAGATTCATGTACCATCAATCACTGTAGTTTATTATTAACCATTATTGGTCGTATAATATTATAGCTTTGATTATATTTAAAAATTTTCAGTCCTGATGGTGACCCACATGTTTAGGTTGAAACGTCTGCACTAATAAAAACTTTATAATGACTGCGCCCTAAATATTTATCACCCATATATAAGTTATAAGTACCATCACTTTATGAAATAAATTAAAAATATAGATTTATTTTTTATTGGTTAAGCTTTTATTTATTTGAATTATTCCAATGCTTTAAATGCCTAAAACTAAAGCTGATAAAATTTCATATCATCGGTTTCTTGCAAAAAGTCACTAAGTGCGTTTTTGGTATTACTTTCAAATATGTTTTTGTGAATTTCGACTTTATTTCTTGATATAGAAACGCTTTAAATTCATGACAATGACACTAATCCTTTTATTTATCAAATATGGTTACAAAAAGTACATAATTTTCTGATTTCAATGAGGCAAAATTATTTGAGGTTGTGAAATGTCATTTGATGACTTATAATTATCTTATCATTCCAGTGAATTATTTTCTAGGCCTGATTATAATGTATTCATTTTAATAAAGTTGTTCATAGTTTCTAATTTTAAAATTGGCATTGCAGCTTATCGGTAGCTGTTTAACTTCGCCGATGAGAAAGGAGAAGCTCGCCACTGCCCTGGAAACCGACGGTTATATTAAGAAACTTTTAAATCTCTTTCACATGTGTGAAGATCTCGAAAATATCGAAGGACTTCATTTTTTGTACGATATTTTCAAGAACATATTTCTTCTTAACAAGAATGCTCTCTTTGAAGTTATGTTTGCAGGTAAGATTATTTTAATTATAATATTTCACTTGGTTAGCTGAACCACTTATTAAATTATCCTTATTGTATCAAGATTTTTTTAGTATTTATTTTCGATCTAATTATTTTCTATTTTTACTGTTATAGATGATACGATATTTGATGTTGTCGGTTGCCTGGAATATGATCCATCATCTTCAGCCCCTAAGCGGCATCGACATTACTTGAGGACTATGTCCAAGTAAGTTGATTGAAATTAATAATATATTAGTCGGAACCTGTATTGGAAGTTGGTAAAAATGATTTAATATATTAATGATTAATATAGTTGAGAACAGTTAAAATGCAAGCTAATCTTGTTCTGCTAATGTCAGGGGATGTTTAAATTTCAAAAAATAGTTTCACGAGAAAAGAAAATGGCTGCCCTGTAGTTTCCCCAAAAAGGAAAATCCCAAAGAGGGGAGGGACAAAAGATTTTTTTTTTGGCAAGCAGTTGTTGTTTGGCGGAGTCACTAGTTGTTTAGAATTACAAGAGAGAGGATTTCCGAGGAAGCTTAAGTTAAATAGATGAAAGTGTCACCATTTTGGAAGGTGTGTTTGGCAGAACATTGAAAAGTGTTTGAAGGCAGGTCAATTCAATGCCGTGAAGGAAGAAACAGTGTCTATAGAAATAAGGTCAGCTTGCCGATTCATACTTGACTATTTTAAAATCAAAATATGTTTAGTGTAGTTAATATTAATTTGGCTGAGTGTTTTGATCGGATTGTCAGTAACCCATATCCTGAGGTAATATAATTATAAAGTTTAGTTTAATATATCAGTATTCTTATAATTTTGTTTTTTATTTAACAACCTCTTATTTATTTTGGAAGTATCGCTACAATATGAAGTGATCTTTCAAGGTTATATTACTAGCTAAAATAAAGAGATATTACATTATTTTGCAGTGATAGTAAAGACTGATTTATTTGTGCGAGAACTCTCATTATAAATATTTATTTTTTTCTCTCTTAACACATATGAGGTATAAGCTATATTTGATTAATATGTTTATTTATATAATTAATACAATATTTTCACTGAAGTATATTAATTAAAAACTCATAATTGGTAAAGATAAATGTTTTGTGAAGTTAAGGGATCAATTAACTTAATAAGAAATTAGCTTGCCTCGTTGAAAAATATCATTTCACTTTAACAGTTAATTAATCAATAAGACTCACCAATCTGTTAACTTTTACTAACCAGATATTCAAGGTGGTGAACGATCTGGAAAACGTCGGAAGATGGTATAAGTCAGGGAATTTGGTTAGTACGTAGATATTTTTTACATACCTATACTGTTCAATATTTGTAATATATACATCTGGTGCAAGATCTGGTAAGCACTCATTTGTTCGATCCATGGTGCTCCTTTATAGAGCATTTACTAATCAGAAACGTCACGGTTGGTGCCATAATATTATGGATAATTATTAAGCGGGGAATTTTACTTTAACTATCTGGTAGCCACCTTGGTATTGCACTTATTGAACTAGTGCAGATGAATCCTCGATTTGTAGTTCTTTCTCTTATTAAGGGTGAAATGTAGAAGCCATACCTGTGTAAAAACTTGATCACTACTATGGCAATATTCAGAACCAAGTAAATTATTAACATGTCCACAAAATGTTTACTTGTGTAAAAAGTATCAAAGAGTTTCTTATTATTATTTTCTCAAAAAAATATCCAGGGTATCATAGAATTATTTTTCATTTTTATATATTATTCTTCACGACTATTATTAAGAATTAAGTTGTACAGAATTAAGAATTGAAATCGGGATTCGTCACTTAATGAAATTTACTTTCTTTTAATATTTTGTTTCTCAAATTCCATTGCTCTTGCGAACCGGAAAAGGGATTTATTATCATACAGATAATAAATTGTAGATTATTTAATTAAAGAGGTTAATTTTATTTTATTTCTGATATCTGTGTCTTCTATATTATTTAATAATTTTATGTCAACCTTATTATTATTTTTATTTTTTTCCAGATTTAAAGAGGTGATACCAATCTCAAATCAGGAACTTCTGTCTAAAATACACCAGACGTACAGAGTGCAATATATACAAGATGTTGTTTTACCAACGCCTTCAGTTTTTGAGGACAATATGCTCTCAACACTCTCTAGTTTTATATTTTTTAACAAGGTTGAAATTGTTACCCTCATTCAGGTAAATAGTCATGTTTATTTATTTATTTAATATTATAATCAAATAATTATGAGATGTTACTAAAATACTGCTCCATTCTCCCACTTGAATATACCTATGTCATCTTATCACAAAGTTCTTGTGTTACACGTTATCCAGAAAACATTGTCATGACGATGACCCCTGATTTGTGACCCATTTATCATCCAAAATCTTTAATTTAGTATTAACTTCAAACATAATAGGTTCATTCAATGTGAAAATTAAAGAATAACATCTCAATCAAATTAATAGAACTAGTGTTTTCCCAGTGGTCTAAATTCGGCCATAATAATTGAAAATTTGAGGAAAACATATAATTGAATAAAAATAAATTCAAGAAAAAAAAGAGTTAATCTCAATTTAAAAATCCTCATTTATTAATGAAAACGAAATTTCAATCTCATTTAAAAATCAAGCTTGAACTACTTAAAATTATTTATAAGTAATACGAAAATGGTCTCATTCAAAACTAATTTCCATTTTGATTTTATGTATATTATTATCACAATAAATTAATGTAATTATTAAGCAAGTAAAAAATAAATTTGAATTAGCAATTTCATTAAGTTCAAGCTACTAATAGCAAGTAAACAAAAAAAGAAAAAAAAGGTGGTTAATGGTGGTGAAACAGAGAAGAAAAACTGTCTGAAACGTTTTATCTTTGCCTATTTATATAATGATGATACAGACAGACGATAGGATGTAATCTGATTACCATGGAAACCATTACACATTTTATTAGAATTGATTTATAATAGTATTGACAATCACACATCACAGAACTTATTATCTGAAGATGAATTAAGTTTTAATATTATTTAGCCTTGTCATTCATATGATGGATAACACATGATGACAGATGCAATAAATTTCAATAATAACAAACGTTAAGAATAGTACAAAAGTTTTAAGAACATAAACTTTTTAATAAAGGCTCGATTCCATGTCCAAGTAAGGGATATAATTAATTATTCTCAATTTTTTTTTTTTTAAATAACGACTAAAGATAATGTAGACCTGGATAAGGAGTTTGTATACCATCTTTTATATAACAATAATCTCGATTACTTCAGTTAATGTAAAGTTTTTGATAGATTAAAAAACAAAATAAGGAATTGTCTATACAAAAGAAAAAGTACTAAATGTTTATAACACTATATCTCTGCTCCAAAAAGTCTGATTTCGATGATGTTTTTTCATTTTGTAGAGAATTCATGAAGCTTTAAAATAAATATGGGCATTTTCAATCAAAAATTGTGTTCTTTTTTCAGTTATTCGCAAATAAAATTCTGAATTCATCATAAAAATGTGTGCAGCTTGTTTTAGGAAAAGTATGATATATACATAAAGTTTAAAGGTTTCAAGGGGAAGGCTTTAGTTTTGTTTCATTAAAACCATTGCAGCCGTTTTGGCGCTACAGTCTAAAGTGATGGGTACCTCCGATTAGTATTTCTTTTTCTTTAACGCCATACTTACTTATGGCTCTTAGCACCATGTATTGTTTTCACACTTTATTAAAAGTATTATAATATCTTGTATTCCTCAAGGTAGTATCCTAGGTCCTATCCTTTACACAGTTTATACAGCCGACATTCTCATCTCATCTCATTTTATCCCAACCCATTCCAACACTATCATCACCAACCTATGCTGATGACACATGTATCATATCAGTCAATAACGATCCATCTATCGCATCCCAAACTCTTCAATCACACATCACAAGCCTTGAAAAATGGTGTCAAAAATGGAGGGTTAAAATAAATCCCATCAAATTAACTTTACTCTTCGTCATAAACCTATGACTTCCTGCCCTACAGTATCCTTTAACAATACCCCACTTATCCCTGTTGACCATATCTGATAGCTAGGACTCCACATTGACAAACGACTCACTTGGAACCCCCATACCAGACTGAAATGATTAGAAACCGCCCGACGTTTTCAACTACTCCAGCACGTACTAGACAAACACTCTAAACTGCCAATTATTTACAAATGACTCATATATATATTACTCTAATAAGGCTTATTTGGACTTACGGGATCGAGCTTTGAGGCTCTACTAAACCATCAAATTCCTCTCGTATCCAATCCCTACAATCCAAAATCCTTCATAAAATCCTTAATGCTCCCTACTTTGTCACAAATAAAATCATCCATAATGACCTTAATGTAGAAATAGAATAGAATAGAATAGAAAATTAAACTTTATTCTGGGACTAAGTCCCTTTAGAGTAACAATGATGAGTTAATACAAAGTAAAGTACAAATCTGGCCAAAAACTAACTTCTAAAAATTTTAATATTATATACATTATTTAAAAAGTATGTAACCAGTAAACAATAAAAAATAAAATATATATACAAATGAACATAAAATCTTCTCAAAATTACTTAATTGTGATGAAAAAAAGAAAAAAAAAAGAAGAGAAATTACATATTTATATATACATAAGTACACAATTTATAAACAATAGGCCATCTAATAGAAAACTAACTTAATACAAAATGAAATAGTATCTACAGTGGTTTATATAATAATATGCAGACACTAAGATAAAATAAAGTCTTATGATACTTGTGGTGTAATGGAAAGAAAAAAAAATAACTAAAAGGAACTATTTATACGTACATTCTCATATTGGCACACATAAAAACAAATATATAAAATATGAACATAGATACCCGAAAAAAAAGCACAACCTGAGAAGAAGAGAAAAATAAATAAATAGTAAAAATAATAGTCAAACTAGGTGACAAAGATCATTGCTGTTTTATGCTAAAACTTAAACAGTAGGCACCACTATTTACTTCACGCAAATTCAGTTCATAAAATGAAATTTATGGTGGTAAATCTTCTGTTTGGGATGTAAGGAGATATTGGAAAAGGAGGTATTTGAAAGCTGACAGGGAAGAGGCATGACGGATGTTATGTGGCAAAGAATTACAATAGGAGACGGAGCGGGCTAAGAAGGAACGGTCATAGGTTTTTGTCCTGTGGAATGGAATATAGAGGTCAGAAACACGGGATCTCGTTTTTATTGAGTGGACTAAGGGTTTAGGCTGGAGGAGACAACAGATATAGGAAGGGTGCTGGGAGTTGATCGTTTGGTATAGGAAATTTCCAAGGAAGTATAGACGGCGGAGGGAAAGAGCCACTTCGACTCATCTCATATGTTTATGGGAATGTACCATATGTTTCCGATTTAGCTCAATCCAGATACCTGTCCTTTTATAATAAACTTCTGCACCATCCGAACCATCTCGTTTCAAACCTTGCTTCCTCTTCTATTCCTGATAATCTGAGGCGTCTGAAAAGAAGATGGCATCGGGACCTTCTAATATAGAAATATAATTGGAGTGCTACCAATGGGTAGTTTCTCTTCATGTTGTACATGTCATGTTACTTGTTCATATTTACTTATATTTATTATTAATTACAGTTGTAAATTTCTTTAATAAAAAAAAAATATATCTTGTAATCTTGAATAGTTTGTTTTCTGTTACTTAGCCTTGATTGCACCATTTTGTGCCAACTTTAGGAATGAATTTGTTTCAGGAGGATGACAAATTATTAACCGATATTCTTAGCCTAATTACTGATGATGCAACTCCTCCGCTCAAGAGGAGAGATTTAGTCCTTTTCTTGAAGGAATATTGTAATTTTTCACAAAATCTTCAGCCTCAAGGGAAGGAAACATTTTATAAGGTAATTTATTAAATTATGATTTGGCCAATATTTTTAAGACATATATATATATATATATATATATATATATATATATAAAATTTTTGTTTGTTTGTATAATTGGCACTTCAGCTCCCTTTGAATCATTGTTTATTTTACTAATACTGATGTTAACTGTTAATTATAGTATTCAAGTAATTTTGTAAAATGTTCCTTTATAAAATAAGCTATACTTTGAAGGAAGTTTAGTAGCCAGTTACACCGTTGAAACATGGAATTTCTCAACTAAAATAAAAACTATTAAGAAAATAATTTTTTATTTCAGACGCTTTCATCTCTCGGTATATTACCAGCACTAGAAATAACATTGTCCTGCGAAGATGTGATAACAAAAACTGCCTCTATTGATATTCTTACATATTTTGTGGAATTCTCTCCTTCTGTCGTAAGGGAGCATACTCTTCAACAAACTCAGAATTCCGATGATGTAAGTCATCTATTCATCGAAACAATTAATTTGTTTTTATTTTGAAATTTTTTTATTTTTATTTATAAAAATCTTTTGTCCCTCAGGAACTAGTTTTGTTAAACGTGATTATGGAGCAAATGATGTGCGATACTGATCCGGAACTTGGCCGAGCAGTTCAGTTGATGGGTATTCTTCGTATACTAATTGATCCAGAGAACATGATGGCTTCTATCAATAAGGCAGAGAAAACTGATTTTTTGAATTACTTTTACAAACACAGCATTCATATTTTAATCGGTAAGATTTTTTTTTTTAGTTTGCATTTATTTGATTAGATTAATTTTTTTTTATTATGCATTCTGCTTTCCCGATCGTACTTAAATATTTTCTTTACAAAAAAAACAAATAAATAAAATATGATTTAACTTTTCTTGAAAAATACAATGCCTGTCTAATCAGCTGAGTGTATTATAAAATAAAGAAAACCTTGATCTTTGCTATGCTTCACATTACAAATCTCTATTCACAGAGAATAATTTGGTAATTCTAAATATGGGCCTCATGAGTTACACTTATTGCGATTATCTTATAAGTCTTATGTACACGTTAAAGAAATTCATAGTACTCATCTAGATCTTGAAAAGTTTTTAGTAAGAAAGAGCTGTGTTAACAATTCCTTTATGGTCTACTGAAGGAATCTGAGTGGATTTCAGTACATATAGCTCATGAGGATAATTTTTCTATCTATTAAATTTTTCCATTTGGTCATAGAAACATTTTTGAATAAATTTACTATGGGAGAAATTAATTAATTACTTTCACCTTTTGAAGAAAATAAACATACTTGTATTGTCCAAGCAATTTGAAAACAAACTTACAAGTCAAAAAATAAGAAATCCTGCTGTTCAATTGATTTTAAAATTCGGTTCAACTTCCACGGGTAAGCTTTTCATCTGTCATTTATGAGGAGAAAATATGACCGTAGTGATGTAACTTTGTTGCTTTTATAGTATTATTCTTTCTGATTTGCTGTGGATTGGTTTTAAAAAATAAAGGATGAGATCTGTGAAATAAATGAAGGATAAAGATTTGTAATGATGTAGTGATGGTTGACTGTGATATAATATGAGAAGGAGTTAATAATTAAAAATACTATTTTTAAAATTTAGTATTTATTTGACCGCAGCCCCCCGATAAAGATTTGGTTTGAAGAACCAATTTTACATCAAATAGATTAGCTTTATTGAGGTCCAGTTATTTGTAAAAAATAATATACAAAAATCTTTTTGTCTACATTTCAATCTATTTAAAATCTATCGAACCGCAACCCAAAATTAAATTTATAACCAATGTTTGAGAATTTAAAATCATCTCACATAGTTATAAGTGCTTTTAAGGATGTTAAATTTTTTTTTTCTCTTACCGCCACAGCCGGTTAAGCGGGAGTCTACTGTATTTAAATTTTAAATTCCTTACTATTTTTCTTTTTAAATTTGGTTAATGTTAGTACTGCTTATAATTCTTTGATTATGTATATTTCCTTTTATAATAATTATTATTATTATTTTACAGAACCTCTGTTACAAAATACCATGAATGGTATCGTCAGCAGAGACGATTATAGAACAGTTCAGTTACTAGGACTCATTTTGGAACTTCTTTCGTTCTGCGTCGAACATCATACATTTCATATAAAGAATTGTATTATTAACAAGGATCTCCTTAGATGTATTCTTGTACTTATGAAATCTTCTCATACTTTTCTCGTTTTATGTATGTTTTTAAATTTTTTTCATTATTGCTTTAAGTTTATTTTATTAATTTAATAATTGCTTATTTATTTTTATTTTTTCTTGTAGGTGCATTAAGGTTCATGAGAAAAATCATTGCATTAAAAGATGATTTTTACAATAGGTATATAATTAAAGGAAATCTTTTCGCTCCGGTCATCGATGCTTTTATTCGCAATAATGGGCGCTATAATCTTCTAGATTCAGCCATTTTAGAAATGTTCGAGTTTATTAAACTAGTATGTTTTTATTTTTATTATAAGAGTTAATTAATTTATTATAAATATTATTACTTTTGTTATTTATACAACTTTCTTGTTTCCAGGAGGATATAAAAGCTCTTATGTCACACGTCGTAGAAAATTATGGAAAGGTTCTTGACGAAGTTGATTATGTACAAACTTTTAAAGCTCTTAGGATACGATACAACCAACATCAGGATAAATTGAAAGATAGAGAAAAGGCCGCTCTTGATAGGTAAACGAGTTAGAAAAGTATTGTTGTACTCGTAGATAGATATGTTTTTCTTTAGTCATGATTGTGAGTTAAAAAAAAAAAGTAATATTAGTCTGTGTTTTTGGATGCAGATGGGTTGGGATCCATTTAAGACAAAGAAATGAAAATAAAGAAAAATCAATCCTAAACACAGAGTAAAAATTAATAATAATGAATCGCATACTTTTTCAAAAAATGCACTAACTGATACAAACCGTAATAATTAGGCCATGTTAATTGTGACTACCTGTAATTTTTACTGCCATACATACTTATTGATTTTGAGACAGTAAAAATCACCAAAATTTAATATTTCAAAGGATTAGATTTATATCTGCCCTCAAAATAGGGTATGGAAAATTCTTAGTCAGTTCAAATTATGGTGGTCACAACTAGAGAATAAATAAATATTCTTTTTTAACTTTTTTATTTTTTAACAGCCGTTTATATGATGACCATCTGACTTTTTCTCGAAGGATGCTGTGTTGTAATAAGTGGAACGGAAAAAAATAAGACCTCTTAGAAATAAAACTCATGATTCAGTTGTAGTATATCTCCGCCTGTTGAATAGTTAAAAGTTTAATAATTATATATTGACATGATTAAATAAAATTATTGATTTTTGTATGGAATTTTATTACTTATAGTATTTTATTAGTCTTCCATATTTTCTCATCATAAAATATGATATTTGACTTGACTCAAAAAATTTAGTCCAAGTGGTTTGATCATTTTTCATAAATTTTGAAGGTATTACATATTACAGAAACCTTATCTTTTTGACTGCATTCAGTTAAACAATAAAATTACTTATATTTAAACTTGATATTTTTCATAGCCAAATAATTAAGTATACTAAACATTTTTTATAGAGTAAAGTACAATGTTTATTGAGAAAAAATTTGTAACTGATCAGTAACCTGAATTTATTGTAGTATTGTACTTTTTACATTTTGTTCATTAAATATATTTTCTATTCTTTAAACATGTTTATAAAAACATATATATATAGAACTAAAATTATTATAATTATATTGATACATCCTTTTACCTGCTTAGTGATTTTTTAATTAACGAAACTTCATCCTAAAAAATCGCCCTTGCAAAACTGTCCACTGTTTGCAAATAAATATTTGCGTTTAGCTTACTCATTTTATTTGAGAGCTAAGTAGTTCAGTGAGTTAAGACACTTTGTTCCTGTGCTTCAGATCCCGGTTTTGAGCAATTTTTTTTTTGTTCTCCCCTTTCTTCCTCTGTAAGCTTTATGGTTTTTTCCCAGGCCTAGGGGGTGAGGGTGGATGATTAATGCCAGCGTTAAAAGCTCCCCTGTCACTGGGATGCGAACTTGTAATAATTTTTTCCTCTAAACTTCAGTTATCACGTTGCCAGGTAACACGCAGTACAGTGCACACGCGTTAACCAGCCACTTCGTCATGGGTTTGATCCCGTCATTGGGAGCTAATTATTTATTCTATTAGACAGGCATAGGTCGACCCCAGACTTTGGAGGGTACCCTCCTCGGCCACACCCCTCAGACTCTATAAAATGAATATCCTTAATTAATAAAAGAGTAAAATTGGTGGTTGAGCATGATCTTGGTCAGATCACCTCACACATCCATTAACCTAGAAAACAATACCTAAGAAAAAAATAGTGTTATAATATATATAGAATCTAATCCACAATATGGAATGATACAATATTAAACTATTTATATAGATCATGTCGGATTCTTTCATGTTTTCATTTACTTGTAATGACGATCAAAATATAAATTAAGTACTTACTTCATGATATAACAAATATTGTTTTGTTTATGATTCAACAAATGGAAAGCATACAATATAAGAATATTCCAAAAATTAAAATTTTCTTCTTTAGTAGGATGGGCGCACACGCCTCTGGGTCCATCGATGTTTCAGTTCTATACTATAGATAAAACTTTCCGTTTCATACTTCCCTTTACAATAAATATACTGTTTACATTCCTAAAAAAAATGTAATAAACTGCCATAAAATACCTTTTTTTTTTTTTCTATTCAGTTTCGAAAAGAGATTCATTTTGATATATTTTATTATTTGTTGTAAATGTATTGGGTTGTCCTAAAAATTATGCAGAATTTTGATTTAAAAAGAAAGATTTACAACTGCTTTATTTAATCAAAATAGTCTCCACTACGATCAATACATTTCTGTCTAACATGTTGGCAACTTTTCCATTCTCTCAGAATAGAATTTCCCATCTTCAGAATTAATAAACTCCAAAAACGCATTTTCTGATCCCCTTTTGTCCATTAAATTTTTTGTCATATAAGTAGTGGTCTGGGTGTCTAAAAAAATGATAATTTGTAGGCCAGAGGTCCGGAGAGTAGAGGGCGGATTTAACAGAGTTTCATATCTCTCCAACAGTTTTTGCGACGTCACGTGTGATACATGTGGCTGGGAAATTGTCATACAACAAAATGGGTCCCTTCCAATTGACCAAAGATAGCTTCATTAGTGCCACTTCTTTTTCTTCAAGGCTGAAATCTCTCCCGAAACTTTTTGAATCACCATTGAACAGTGCACTCATTAATGCTGCTCTCGCCTCAGACTTGATTTTCCTGGCCCTTTGGGCTCCATTCCGGCCGAATTTAAACTCTTAAAACAAAATTATAAGAAAATCACGTGTTGACATCTTAGTAAAGACTGAATTATTTCTAAGCAGCAAAATGCTACAGAGGTAAACAAATATTATAGTTTCGAAGAGGATTAATTAATGTTGATATTCATTCAAATGAGTAATTCAGTAAAAGTAAACAGTTTGTTATATAGATGATTATTTAAAAAAAAAAACTCAAAATCCTGCATTATTTTCTAGACAACCCAATTGTCAATAGTAAAGAATTAATTATTTGAAGGCATTTCTTGCATCGTCAGGACAGAAAATTATAAATCACATTGATGACAAGACCCTGTGGTGTTTACTGAGTATACGTTAAACTGTCTTAGAGGGATGTAAAATACTATTTCTGTTTGATCAGTCTTTTTTAAACTGATTAGTGGTTATTTCATATTATCCTTTTCTCTCCTAATAGGAGTAATATTGAAATCTAAGTATATTTTAACAGTGATTTTTTTCTCTTGTATTTCTATACTCTAATTAATTAATCTACTTTGGTATTTACAATTATTGTTTTTTAAAAAGGGGTTTTATTATATATTAATTTTAAAAATATATTGGATGAAGTCTATTTTTACATCTTTTTGAACTGTGATGTTTATTAAAAATATATTTATATTTTTTTTCTTGTTGAACTTAGTGTTCCGTCTATATTGCGAAGCAGTCGGTTGAGGAGGGAACCTCGGCAGCTGGACGAAGAGGAGGAAATGTGGTTCAACGAGGATGAAGATTTTGACGAGGGCGAAGCTGTTGTGCCTGCCGCTACCTCAAATATTATTAACAAGAAATTGAATCACGAGATCGATTCAATTGGTAATAATCCATAGTATATGTATTTTTGTTATAAATATTTGTTTGAAAATATCAAATAGATTAAAAAAAACTTTTGAGTTTCATGACAGTATGTTGACAGGTTGACTGTAGTTATAATTAAATAGTTAGTCAGGGTGTGCGACAATCACACACTGTTTGATTTGGTTTCCATAAAATTTATTTTTAGGCTGTGTTGTAGCTATTTGTCAAGCCTAAAACGAACATGATAGAAAAAATTACTATTAATTGTTGGGCCTCCCAACATTTTTGCTTGATGTTTATTAATATAGTTCTATAGTTAATTATGATAATTTGTTAATTAATAGAAATAATTTAGTAAAAGGTTGTGTGTATAGAGTAACTTAATTAATAGAATGTGTGTATTTAGTGATAAGTAATGATAACAGTAAAATATAAATCATTTTTGCGTCCTCCATTTGCACTTCCTAACCTTACCTCGCCCTCTAATGATAAACACTTCCTCTCTTTGGCCTTTTAGTGATGTTCACTTATTTTAGTTTATTATTATAAATGAGCTAACGATATTTGACTGAGAAAAATAAAATTATTTCCTCTATATATTGTAATATTATACATTGAACTTATTTCTATATAATATAAGGCCAACTGTTGATATATATTGTGATGTTCTCGTTTCCTCCAAAAGTAAACAACCAGTTTCTTTTTCAATATAACATTTATTTCTCACACATGTATAAATTCCCAGGTTGTGTTTAGACAACTAACATACATCCTCATTTATACTATATAAAAGCATACATTAATTATTACAGTTATTGATAAATTTCCATTCTATTTGTCGGGATCTAGTCTTGGCGCGCGTGATTGATCTGTCCATTTATATATTCTTCACTCACCCTGTGGTGCAGCTACTTCTCATCTACAACCTTCTACTGTTGGCACTGACTACTTGGAGACCAACATCTTCTCACAGATCCTTGTTCCTCGCCGGCTGGCTACCTTCTCCGTAACCTATGTCCTCTTCACTCGCTGGCCGGTCACCTTCTGCCGTTACATGAGGCTTGCTTCCCCCACCATCTGTAATTCCCGTCAGTAGTTCGTGATGTTACCACCTTCGCGCCAATATTCAAAAACACTATGTAATGTTGACATTACAATATATATATATATATTGGTTGATTAAAAAATATATTATAAGTTTAAAATATCGATTAGAGTTTATAATACTTATATACTAACTGTGGCTTTCGTAAGTGATTGATGTTTTTACAAATAATCACAAAATTATTTATAATTTCGAAGAACTGAAGTAAGAATATATATATTTTTTTTTTTCAGGCAAGACTTTAGACAAGAAAAATGAAGGTAGCAGTGGTAAGGTGTTCAACAACACTGGAAAAGCCATCATAAATAATAACTTAAATTTGGGGACAACACCTCTGAGTCCTGTCCTCCCGAGCACTACTCTCTTTAAGAAGGTATTTATTTGATAATATATAAATATATTTATATATATATATAAATTCTAACATCGCCTAACTCAATTTTGACCAAAATGTGATTGTTAGTTTTGACTTTTTTAGTTTCTTTATACTTAATTGAATGATAACCATGGACATCAATGATCTAATATTAATTTTCAAGATGTTTTTAGGATGAAATCTATATAAATAAAAATGTGAATGTTCATTTGTTCAAAACCGTCAAAAATCTTCGAAACTTCTTCACCGATTGCTTTAAAATTTTAACATAACTTTGTTTGTATCAGATTCATGAATGTTTTTATATATATTTAATTAAACTCCGTCCTTTGGTTTTGAAAAGGCAGCCGAAAAACCTGTGTCGCTTTAGACTGTAGCGCCTAAACGGCTGTAATAATTTTAATTAAACTTGGATAAAATGGTCTGCTTGAAGCCCTTTTAATTTATTTATATAACATCCTTCCCCGAAAAGAAGGTGAAAAAAAAAGTTTACCACTTACAATAGATTTAGAACTATGTTTGCAAATAACTCAAAAAGTACATAATTTTTGATAGATTACATCTATGATTATTTGAAAGCTTCCTGAATCTCCTACAAAATGATAAAAAAAACATATAAATCTAAAAGAATTATCTCTGAAATAAAACAATTTATACCGGCCAATGGAGCAAAGTATGTCCAAATGTTTTTTTAATGAGAAACAAAGTTTAGATTTTTGGTTTTTAGTTATTTGGCAATAATAACTTCCAATTGGTAACAATTGAGTATATATCTATTATCAACGTTACATGTTAACAAGTTAGTTTGCGTTTCGGGATATCTATTCCCATCTTCGGAACTGCAATCCCAATAGTCTTGTGGACGCAAGGCTAAAAATTTTTTGAGTTATAATATTGTGCTCGTTACATTACATATTTGAATTTTGTTGTTACAATAAATTTGTAATTACCTTAAATTTAATAATAATAATGTGTTCCATCATCAAATTTCTAATTCATGTTCTAAAATGTATCATCTAGAGCAACATCCTGCTTTTGACCAATAATTGGGTATCTGCCATAGTGAAAAAATTGACCTTTGGATCTGTCTATTTTTATTATTGTTGTTAATGTTTATTTTATGTATCTGTAATTTCACTTCTATTAAATTTTAATTAAAAAAAAAATTAGATTTTTGTTTTGCATCTCAATAAACCCTAAAATACAAATTTTCATTGTTGTAGAAAAATAAAAACTTTTTACTTCAAATTTTCATCTTATTTTTCTTAATCTTCATTTTCTTATTTTTATTAGACTGTGTTATGAGCATGAGCATTTCTTATTCATTTTGTGTATATATAGATATATTTATGTTTAACGGGTTTTATATTCTCTCCAGGGGCTCGTGGATTATGAAGGTGACTCTGACGAGGAAGAGGAAGAGAGCGGAGATCTTCTATCTCCTTCTAAGAGGGCAAGGTTTTCGTAATCCATCTGTGTCAATTTTATGCTCATCAAGTTCTCTTCATCCCTCTTTCAAACTTTTCTCCCTAGCGGGCGAGTTTAATTAAGGAAAGTATTGTTAATGAAGATTCTACAAAGTGTGCCGTGATGGCGGGAGACGCTGCCCAGAACGTCTAAGTCCTCATCAAGGCAGAATTACACAAGATGTTTTTATATATAGTTTATGAAATAATTAATCTGTTCCATTCTTTGAATGTTAAGCTATCAATTTAGGCACAAAAGCCATCTATTTTAAAGTCTGTGCAATACACATTGCACATATATATATATTTAGTTGTACAGATGAAATTTTTACATATATATTATATATATATATATTTACAATTCTGTTGTACATCAAGAATAGTTAGAAGTTTTTATAATTATTTATTCTCGGCAAGGACACTAGAGTGCGTAATTCTTATTTTTTATGATGTATAACAGAGCGAAGTTCATTATGTATATTTTTTTTATGAATACTTTTCACATTTTAACACATTGGTGCTAAAATGTTACGCATCTGTGACACAACTGTTTCATATTATGTAATGATCCCCACAAACATAAAAGCAATTCTTTCTTGCCGATAATCACATCTATGTACAATTTTTAATAAATGAAAAAAGAAGCCCTCTATGGGTCTAAATTTTCAGAGATATCTGAGCATCTAAATGCTATTATTTCTGAAAGCACCGATAGAACGTTGTGCAAATTTTAACCTGAACTAGGCTACGACTTCTTTGAAGCTCAAAAACAAAATAAAAATTAAATAAAAAAATATTAATTACTTTGTTCTGCGGTATCTAATGTTGTAGACAAGGTAAACATTTAAATTATTAACTATTTTTTACCACTAATACTCATAAAATTGTAAATAAGTGTTTAAAAAAAAAGAAACCAGTTTGTACTGTTGGATACAGACAATGTCTGGTAAAAGTGTTGTGGACGACTTTTTATTTGAACATTTCATGTGTTGGTGTTTAATTTAAGGTAATTTGGGAAAAAATATATGGAAACTATAGTTAAATTATATATTGAGGTTGTGTAAGTGTGTATTAATGTATAGTAAAAATGCTTGGGACAATTTGTTTCTTATAAAGAACTGTGATATAAAGGCCTACAAAAACTAAATGGTATCATATAGTCGTTCCTTTTTGTACTCGTTACTTGGAACTTGTTATATTTTATCATTTATTTATTCATTTTATATATGTAAATTGTTTCCAAGTTATTTTGTATGTAAGATAATTGTGTTTACCATATTAAAAACCATTCCAAATGGCATTATTTATTTATATAAATATATATATATCAGATAAAAAAACGAAATAAAATAATAAGCAAATTGTTCCAAGACTTATCGTCCAAAATCCCAGATATTGGAAATATTTAATTTGAAATTTATATTTCATGTAAATAGATTTTGTTCAAATACCACTCTCGGTTTTTGATTTGTAAAATGAAATAAAAGCTACTTATATGTTTAAATTGAATTTTTTTTTTAGTTTTTAAATGAAACCAAGTGCAATATATTTTGATACCTTAAAAAAAAAAGAAAAAAAATTTAAATTGTTGATTATAATATATAATACCTGTGGCCTCAAGAGGCTATTTGTCTTTTATAATTTATTGACTTGTCTTTTATGTTAAATGTTATGATATGACAACAACAGAAAAAAAAGTTAAAAATAAATAATTATTTTTAACAGAATATCTTTTTAGATTAGCTCATCCACATGTTTATTGACAATTTTTCTATTAAAAAATATTTACTGATTGATTTTTGATATATTGATTTCATTTATTAGGAAAGTTGCATGATATATCTTAATTTTATCATTTGAATACATCACAATTTGGTTTTATAACATTTCATTGTGTACATTAATAATAATTTTATTACAGTGAACTCTTTATAATCCGAACTAAGTAAAACCAAGAAGGTTCGGATTAGTGAACAAGAAAAAAATGCCACTTCATAAATAATTAACCAATTTAAAATAAAAAAAAGTATAAACGTATACACAATAATTAATCATTGTTCAGAAATTTATTAATTTACTATTTTCTTGTGAAATAATATGGAATTTTCATTTGTTTGGAACTTGAAATCATCTTTTTTAAGTTCTCTGATTGCATCTATTTCAGCAATAGAATCTAAAAATTCAAACAAGAACATTAGAAAAACTAGATTAATTATGTTTTCTTCAATCTAATTTTTCCGAAGATATGTTATTTATAATTGGGTCAATCCATTATAAGTCACCCAATTTGAATTAATTTTGTTGCTTGACGTTTTTGATTTTTATCATATTTTACCAGTTTTTCCATATTTATTTGAATGTTCAAAGCCGTAATTGTACTGTTTTTCACCCATTTTTAGAAACTAAATAAATAAATACGTATTTTAAAGTCCCGCTTAACACTTGAATTGTTCTACATTAATGGGAATGTGTAAACGTTATGTACCAGTCAACTGGAATGCCAGTGACTGGCACCGTGTAAATCAACCTTAAAGGTCATGTGTCAGTCAACTCTAATACCAGCGAATGAGCCCTAATTTTTCCAAAGATATGTAATTTATAAAGTGGGTCAATTCATTTTAAATCACCCAATTTGAATTAATTTTGTTGCTTGACATTTTTGATTTTTATAATTTTTTTTTCCATTTATTCCATATTTATTTGAGTGTTCAAAGCCGTAGTTAAAAAAAAAATTAAGGTTCATAATCTTTTCTCAGCCGGCATTTTTAATTTTCTTTTCAACTGAAAACGTGTTTTGGGAAAATACCTGAAACTCTGGTTATTTTTTATATATCAAGCCAAAATAAAAACTGAAATAATTTAAGAGTATTTTTTAAAGAAGTGAATGAAAACTGACAATTGAAACATAAAATAAACTCATTTTTATATTGAATCACATTTTAACTATTTCACCATATAATTATTTATTTTAATTATAGACCATATAATTAATTAGCTTATAACTTAAGTTATTTCATAATAAAGGCTCCTATCATTACTAAAAATGGTTTACTAATGTTCGTTTCTACTTAGAAAGGAAATAGAAATAGAAATGTTTATTTCATATTCAATTAATGATCAATAAAATTAACATTATATAGTGATAGTTAAATGTTAACGAGATGATTGTCTTCAATCACCCAGTCGGAACATCATTATGTTTTATTGTAAGGAATTTGGATCTGCTACCCAAAACTCAGGTGGTAATAGTATATGCTTATGAAAATATTTCCAAAACTGGAATATTTGAAAAGTGTATTAATTCAGTATATAAATAGCAACAGTTCTCTGACTGAATTTGTGCCGTAACAGATTTTTATACAGGTATAATAAGGATACACTTACGGATTTCTTTAAGATTTAAAGTTCAGCTAAGACAGGTAAGTACATCCTTACTTCTTTTAAGAGATATTCGGGAGATTTTATTAAAACTGTGGATTCTTACTTAGTGCTTAATAAACTTTAACTAATTTATTATCTGTTTCAAAACTGTTTTGACCTACCTTCAAAGAAGATGACAATAATAAAATTAAATTAAATGGTCATAATCTTTATTATTTGTTTGAATAATTTTTAATTTATTTTTCTTTGATAAACTTCTAGTCTAAAGGTATTGAGCATAGTATATAATGTAAAGATCAGCATATACGGCGAAACTTTTCCATAGCACACACCTATGGTGACTGGCGAATTCAAGAGGGAACTTTGAGCTTATATAATACTTAAACAATTACAGAATACTCTCTTCTTTTATTACAATGCATGTACTTCAATTACTGAATGTAAACATGACAAGAAAAATATAAAAATTAGTCTTGCTTTTTTTAAAAAAACATTAAAGCATTATTATTCCTATAATAAAAAATAAATCCTGGATCCACTACCCACCATGGATAATTAGTTTCTTCCACTATAGGTGTTTGTCATAGAGAAACTGGAAGGAAATTCTAAGAATGAAAATAAAATAAAAACTAAGATGAAAATTTTTTAATCACATAAATGACTTATTCGTTTAAATAAAATTTTTGTTTTTAAATTTATAACTAATGAATTTTTAATCATAACTGCACAAATGAGTAATGATAAAAGTATACACAAAGCGTAAACATTAAAACAAAAACATCTGGTGTGTCCACTCAAACGACTTTCCTACCTATTTCAGAAAGATTTTTATATCTTTACATATGTCCGTCAAGAAACAAATAAAAATTGACTTAGATTTATTTGATAAACTAAAGCAATGTAAACCGGCTTAAGGTAGATCAGTGTAAAAATTTGAATACTCTAATATTGCTGATCAAAAACTTTTTGCCATAGCTTAATTTCGTCAAACAATAATTTCTATTAAAAGTAGAGATAGGTGTAAAGCTTGTGCGACAAAGGCAAAGAGTTTCTTATTTTCACTAAGTTATCTTTTTTCTCTCATTCATACATTTCTGACACGAGGATATGTAACCGTAATCTTACATTGTTAATTGGATGCTGTAACTTCGTTAATAGTTGTCCGAAATGAACGATTTTTATTTAGTTTTGTAGGGAATTTCATTACCTTTCAAAAAAGCCAGCTAAACGGATATACAATTTATTATAAATTTTACCAGAGAATATACACTTAACTAGTTAGGTCCCAAAACATTTTTATTTTCTTCATAACTTTTTTTCCTGAATTTTTTCGGAAATTTAGTCCATGTACGAAAATTGAAAGGACAATTATTAGAACATTATAGGAAAGTTTCTTCAAAATGGTTAGAGCCGTTTTCGTGCTACAGTCTATTGTAAACCATGTTTTTGATTTATTGCGCATGGAGCACTCAATTTGTGTCACAGGCATCAGTGGTCAAAACCCTACAAAATAAAAAAAGGAGCAAAATTGGTAAAATCCCAAGAAAATCTTGGTACAGACAGACAGACAGACCATTGCCTAAAAATGTGTTTTTCGAACTCAGGGGGCTCTGAAATGTATAGATCCTTCGAAAACCGCATATCGGAAATTTGACCCAATCATAATACTTTCCTTCCCTAGTATAGGTAGTAAAGTAAAAAAAAGTTGAAACTTACATATAATATTAATCACTGATTTTTGTTTGAAGTTTTTGCTGCATTACTTTTTTTATTTATCAAATCAGCTATAAGAGATTTAACAGAGCTTTTAATTGATGCTACTCCTTTAATGAAAACAAATCAAAGAATCACCCTACATATTGCTTTATAGAAAATTTTTTTTGTATTTGAATTAATTTAGTTATTTGCTTTATTTAATGCTCCAGTAGACACTTCAAAATCATTCTGACCCAAAGTCTGTGCGAATTTTACAACTTTTCTTTAATCAGAGAGATCTCTTTTGCATCCTTAAAATTTCAGGAAATTGTTTTTTTCATTAAAATACTAGTTAAAATACTAGTGGATAATTAGCAAATATTAATTTTTTAAACAAATTTGTCAGGAGCATACAGAGTTAAAAAAACAATTTACAAATCATCCTTCTTAACCCTATTTTAATCAAGAAATAAGTTAGCATTTCTATGAATGCAACATTTTTTTATTGATGCTGAAGTAAATATCTTCTATAAATATAGTTTATTTCAGTACAAAACAAGGTTTGAACAAAAAACCAAAAACAACACATTTTCTTACCTATTTTAAGAACGAGCTCATTTTGGGTGAAAATAACATATTAAGTGGCTGGGATAAATAATCTTGTAGGATAATGTCTTCTTTTTAATTTTAATTTCATTTTAAGTTTTTTTAATTTTGCTCAGAGTTTTAACAAATGGGTTCAAATTCTGTTTATTTGAAGTTTGAAATACAGAACTAATTAAAATTGTACTAAAATTTTTAATCCTCTCATATGAAGCATATCCGTTGTATTAAAACTTAAAATTTTAAATTTAAACTAAAGAAAAAAAGATTTAATGTGAGACAGCACCTATAGAAGTCATTACCATTGACTAGCAGATATGGAGGGTAGGTTGGGTGTTGAAAACTCACTTAATCTCCCGAGTACCATCTTTTAGTTTTATCATAATTACTCTAAGCTATAAAAAATTATTAATATTTATTTTTATTCTAGAATATTTAATAATTAAATTGTCTCCTTAAATAAAAAATTAATTTTTTAGATAAAAAATGGAAATTAGCTATTTTATATGGATTGGATTAATTGGATCTTTACTTACTGTCAGTGATTGCTATTTATCTGCAACTGCAAAAGACAAATTTGGTAATTTACTGCATATATGTATTTTTTATGAATATTTTGTTATGGACCGATAGAAATCAACTGATCATTTTCTAAATACCTAAATTCATTACTTCAGTAAAACTTCTTTTTTATAGAAATATATATTTTATATATTTTTTAAATACAGTATTTCTCTCTCTGTTTTTTTCCTCTTGTTTACAAATATATTAGGGTTAAATTTTTCATTCATTTTTCACTCACTATGGAGTATTCTTGGTTCATTTATCAAACCAGTGATTCCTTTCTACAGCGTGGTGTACACGTGTAGTCTTATTTTCTTTAATTTTTATATAATTTTGTTGTTGATATATCCAATTTTCTAGTGATCATTAAATTTCATCTAATATATACTGATGAAAAATCTAAGCATTCCACTTAATATTCAACATCTGTATGTTTTTCAGTTGTATTTTTACTTTCATATTGGTATATAAGCTTCTTATTTTATTTTTAGGCCTCTCATCCATGTTATATTCTTTGAATGTTCTATGAACATTTTCAGAAAGACCTTAAATATAGGTGCATATAAAATATGGTTTTGATCCTGCATTTTTTTAAAGGTACTTTTTCTTCCTTTCTCCATTTTTAAATGTTATACTTAAATTAACCTTACTTTTTTCTTCTGCAAACTTTAATAATCTACTCATAATAATACCAGATAATTTTATTGATAAACCCTTTTCCATAAACTGTTTGAATATATTTTCCTGAACTTTAAAAAATCCACTTTCACATATTAATGTTGTCTCTTCTATAAATATCTCTTTATTTTTGTAAATATTTCAATTTTTTCGCATTTTCATTTTATATACTGTATAAAAGTTTCAAAGGTTTACTTGATAAAACGATAGCTCAGTGGTAGGGCACTGATCTTCTAATGCTGAAGGTCCCAAGTTCGAATCGAGGTCTGTCACATACAGATAGAATCGCATTATATCAATTTATAGTAAACATACAGCTGATACCTAAAGTTTTCAAAGGGTTGAAAATCTCTGACCTACATTTTCTAACTTTGTGTAAAGCCTACACAGCTATTCGGTTTTTTTTATCACCTCACTCCATGTTAACTGAGCGAAAGAAAAATACAAACTAGTTGGGATTACTATCCTGACATGTAAAGAAAACCTGATAGAGGTAAGGATTATCTAAATAATAAACAAGGATGTAAACAAAGTTCAACTGTTGTAATAGTATTTATGGCAGAACTAGGTACACATATAGTTGTTTACATCATATGTTATTTTATCTTAAAATATCTAAGACAGGTATAGGAAACTTTGGAATTTCATAAGAAGAATCTTTTATTCCATTAACAATGGTTCTAAAAACCTGGCCTGGCTTATGTAATTTTATAAAACCAAATATTCTAGAGTACCTAATCTGCTTTTCTACTAATTTTAAGCTTTGTTATTTTGTATAAATCCTAATTTGGTTAATTTTTTAGATAAAGATTAATTTTATTTGTTGTTTCCTCCATTGGATCCACTCTCCTACTTCTAAGTGTTTGGCATTTATTAATTAATTCATTTTCTCGATGTATAATTATTTTTGCCACTGGCTTAGCCTTACTGACTTAACAAGTATTAGATTTTGATTTCCCTTTTTAAATTTTCTTATTTTTTTCAAAAAATCATTCCATTTTTTTCATTAATACACATATCACTATTGTTAGTGCAAAAGGTCATTTGTGAAAATTGAGTTTTTTATTCAAAAAATGAAAACTGATTATTTCAAAAGACACCATATGGCATTGTAGATTATTTCCATAATATCAGAATACAAAATGTCTCCTTTAGCACAAATAGAACAAGAACTTGAAATCGTTACATACGATATTTTGCATTAACAGTTCCAATACGCTATTCTTCTTTGTCACCTTTTCTACAAAATTAAACATTTTTTTATAGTGCAGTTTCTTAAGCCATTTTTTGTGGTTCTTCTAAACTAAGAAACTTAATAATACCCCCTTCAACTTCACTCAATTTTTCAACCAAATTTTTCTTATACAATTCTGTTTATTTTACAATTATACTCAATTCTAATTTAACATTTTTAAACATATCTTTCTCTTCAATGTTATTGCAGGTAATAATATTGATTTTGAAGTTTGATTGATATTCATTCTTTGATCCCATAGAGTCTCCTCATCTTTATTTCTATCTTTATGTTTAACTTGGACATCTTATATTATATCATAAGATAAGGACATCTTTTTTCAAAAATAGGCATCCTTATATTCTCAGCAACCTTGATATTATTTTTGTTCAAATATTTAAGAATTTTCTTACAATAAGTGCTGTATCTAAGAGAACTGAGTGTTGAGCCTCTCTTAGCACATCAATAGGTAATTTCAAACCATTTGTGCTTGCCATCATATATAATATTTTTTCAATCAATCAGTTTCTCTCTGGAACTGATAGAAATGATAATGAATAAACTTTATAGTGAAATGATTTTTTAAAAATGTTTTTAATATAGTTCCAGAAAATCACAAGCATTGGAATAATCTGGAACACAGAACTTGTGGATTTTCCTTAAAAAATCGAATCATTGGTGGAAGAAGTGTACGTTTGGGAAAGTACCCGTGGCTGGTCAGATTGGGAAAATTACGTTTGTATAAATTACAATAAATATAAAATTTTCATGTTAATTTAGAACATGTTATGAATAAGTTATGTGTTAATATTTTCGGTGATCTATAAAAAGGGCGAATACAACAATAGAAAATGATATTGTTTTTCTTATTGGTACCTGCGGGAGGGAGTTCAACAAAGAGAATGAAAAAATAAAAATGTTATATATTCTTTTGTTTTTACATACCAGTAGCAATTGACATCTTAAATTCGAAAAGGAGAAAAACAAAATTACCTGATTTGTTGAATTCACTTTGCTAAATCGTTAAATTGCAACTTGTTGTAGCACTTATACACATTCACAATTATTATACAGCATGTCTAAACCGTACTTGTCTACCTCAAACCAGTTGCAAACTGGGGCATAATTTTATTTAATTTATTAGTTGGGATGGTGCAGGAAGAGAATTGATACCACTAAATTAAAACAAGTCTAAAACCTCCAAAATATATTTGTATTGAACTGCTAAAAAATCATCATCAAACTCTGAAACACTTGCCTAAATGAATTTCAGGATATCAAATAGGTAAAATGTTATTGTAAAAATATGACATTTCCGTCCATTTATCCTGTCTAGATTTTAAACAAATTTTTCAGACACTGAAGAAGACTATTCTTCTTACGAAGACTTTTCTTTAGAAGATGACTTTTATGAATTTTATGGAGATAACCAGACTATTGAAGAAATTCAGTCTCAGAATATATCAGAGACTAACCAGACTATTGAAGAAATTCAGTCTCACAATATATCAGAGACTGAAGGTGACTAATATTTTTTGTACATTCGTGTGATCTTGTACGCCATATTTTTAATTTTCTCTTAGGTTCTTGTCTGTAAACATATATGTATGGATTTGAGGAGGGCTTTTAAGGTTGACATAAACAAGGGTAAAAGTAAAAAAACTAAGTTGCTTTCTTTTTGCAGGTTACAATTTGGCTTTAATGTTGGTTAATTATTTAAATTATGAAAAATCGACTAGGGAAAATAGTTTATCCTCATCTTCAAAATTTAAGTTTAATCTTTTAGATTCCAAAATATACAGAAACTGAATAAAAATAAAACCGGGCATGAAGGGGGGTTTTCATGCAAAGCTATTTCAGCAATAGGAAGAACATTGATCCTCTGTGTTCCTGTTGCGAAGAATCTGAGACATCACACATTGTCACAGGCTTTAAAAAAAAAATAAAATAAAAATTGTCATAGTCTATTCTCTATGAGACACTGAGTGACAAACTGCTGAAGGAATCAGGTCTATATATTTTGACAGAGAACGACTTCCCTCAGCTAATGAGTGAGGAAAACTACTTACACTTCTGGAATTTCTTGTGTGCGTGAAAGAAAATTATAGATCCAAAAAACTACTTTTTGGGAAGAAAAGGATGTACTGCATCTTGAAGGCGGCCGTGCAGCAGAAGACAGTGGCCAAACCTAAAGAAAGAAGAGTAAGTTGTGTTCACAGCTCAGGCAAAATTATAATTTTAGTAGTTTAACTATCAGCAGTGTGTTACATCCCATTATTTCTAATACCTGTATTGCTTACCATGCGCGGTAGCACAGGCAGATCTAGGGAGGGGGGGAGCTCTCGGGCTATAACTCCCTCCCACCCAAAAAAGATAAAATATATCCATATCTTACGAACAAAATTATCTCTAAAAACTATTAGTTCTTCCAAGTGAGGTGGTAACCTATCTAGGAGTTAGGTTAGGTTTAGGCCTGAATGTAACATCTCACTTGGAATATCTGTTAGGTAGGGTGGTCCTAGTACGAACAGTCTAACTCACATGGGAGGCGCATTCTGGTGTCTAAGGTATTCAATCACAATCACGATTTATAAAGGTGTTGTGGAGGGTATCTTGAGGTATGCGTCTCCCTTCTGGTTCTGTAACCTCACACTACGACTTAAAAAAAAGGCTAGTGTTGACTCAGAGGACAGCTCTGCTTCGGGTCACCAGAGCATGCAGGACAACTTCGCATGAAGCGGTGCAGGTCCTAGCAGGGGTGGTGCCTCTCGACCTCCTCCTACTAGAAGAAGTGAGGAAATGTTTATATGAGAGGTAAGGCTCTACAGTACTTTCAGACAATTTGCAGGTGAAGATTATGGATGCGCCTAATAGATGGAAGAAGATAGTCCGGGAGCATCCGATTGAAGCATGGAAACGGCGGTTGGTAGCTACTCCTAAAGGAAGTGCATTGAGGAAGTACTTTCTCCCACAGTACAGTCGAGGCTTCAAGCAAAGTCGATCTTCCCAGACTACTGGATTTTCCAGTTCCTCACTGGGCATGGAGGATTTTGAGCTAAACTTCATGGTCTGGATATTGATGTAGATCTTCTGTGCCCAACCTACAGTGTTCCGGAAACTGTAGAGTCACGATCTGCACAACATTTGAAACGTTAAGAGTGACTATAACAAGAGCCGCGGGAATTTATATTGGTTCAAGGAATTCATAAATGGAGGGAGGACGGTGGTGGGGCCCGCTCACTTCCGTATTGGTGCCCGCAGAAGAAGAGGACAAGCGCCAGGAAGACCTCCAGATTCTGGAAGCTAGGCCGAAACCGATAAACAAGAAGGAAAAACTGCTAGCTGTGTCTACATCATTGCTCAGTTAACTAGTAGTAGTGTGTTGCCACAGTAACATGGGAGGCTAGAATATATAAATAATAATAGTAGTATTACAGTTCGTTAATTACATTTAGTAGGAATTCAAGAATCACTTAAACACCATTTCTTAAAGGTACTTAGTTTCTTTCTTTTCTTCCAACGTAATTATCATTATATATATAGAAAAAAAAAAATGTTCAGGCTGAAGCCTCCTCCAAAATTAATTCCTGGATCTGCTAGTGCGTGGTAGGCAGGTAATAAAAGTAGAATAAAAGTTATAATTGTCTAACATCATCATATATTTATACACAATATATATATATATATGTATATTAGAAGCCATCCTGATCGGATCCTCCTCATCCCTCAAATCCATTTCAGTATCTCCCAATCTTCTGCTGAACAACTTATCTGATCAACACACTTATCTCCTTCAATACTACCGTTAAAAACCTTGGCATTACCCTCGATCAAACCCTCTTTTGGAAACTAGACATCTTCCAAATTTCCCACCGTACTATTTCCATCCTGAAACAGTTTAACCATCTATGTTATCTTCTTCAATTCAAAACCTTTCAATTCCTGGTTTCATCTCCTGTTTTCCCCTACTTTGACTACGGCTGTATGGTGTATGTTGGACTCTCGGGAGAATTCAAAGCTAAACTTAAACGTCTAATGAATTGCTCAATACGTTTCATCTTCGGGATCTCAAGGGATGCGCATATTACCCAGTTTTACACCGAGTTGGAGTGGCTTTATCCATCCTACCGCCGTAAGTATTTCCTTACTACCTCCCTATTCCAGGCAATTATAACTCGGCGACCCTCCTATATTCTACAGATCCTACAATTCAAATGCTCCTTTCAATCCTGTCCCACCAGATCCCATACGTCCCTCCTCTATCCTCCTCCTCACCGAACTGCTGCGTTTGACAAATCCTTGTTAATTCAAGCTGTCTCCCTCGAGAATTGTATCCCCTTTGATATTGGATACACAAAGTCAGTATCCTCTTTCAAATCTCTCTTCTTGAAACACCTACTCCACTTACCGATCTGGTTGATCATGAAATGCACTTAAAAATCTAAGTCGTAAGAATCTCAAAGTATCCCCAGATACTTGTCAAACTTACTTACTTATCAAACTTATCCCCAGATAAATCACAAAATAATCAAAGTATCCCCAGAAACTTTGATTATTTTGTGATTTATTGATATTTTGTTTATTTATTTTATATTTATATATATGTTTTTATATCTTTTCATTATCTCTACTTTTATTGTATTACCAATCATCCTGTAAATATTTAATTGTATTTTATAAACACAACAAAATGCTAATATATATTCTTTATTTATAATTTGTTGTAAAGGGACACTAGTCCCAGAATAATAAAATTATTTCCATTCATTCATTCATATATATATATATTTATATATATTTTTTGACTGTTAATAATGTATATTTTCTTGAGGATCTTGAGTTTCAGTCAATAAATAAACTACTCTATTTTGGCTAAGTTTAAAGACTATTTTTCATATTCGTGCTCCGAAGGGAAAAAACAAAATAAAACAGGTTTACTATAAGTTTTTCAAAAATAATCATGACACATTAAAATTACCAATAATTAGAATATGAATTAACTTTGAGATGTTATAATTAAATTAAATTGACAAAGTTGTGTTTACAACGATTGAAAATTAATATTCATTACATGAAACAAATAAATAATAAACAACACTGAACAAATTTTAAAATAATATTGAATCAGGATTAGAGAACTGAATTAGAAAGAATGGGAGCAGGATTGTTCAGTAGACACTGACTTCCAAAGCTCAAGGTTCTGGGTTCGAATCCGACTGATTGCAAGATTTATTATTTATTCTGTTTCATCAGATGTGGATCGACTGTGGGATCGGGAGATACTCCTAGGGTACATTCTACCTCTATAAAGTGGGTACTCCTAATTAAATGATTAATTAAGAGGAAAAACTTGGCGGTTGAGCGTGATATCTGTTCAATCACCTCCTGCACAGCCATTGTGTTTAAATGGCTGCATCCTTAAAATCCAAGACTCTTCATAGATTGTAGTGGTATAGTTTACTGAATCAGAATGAGTAGAAATGGTGAGAAGTTGAGTAGTAGTGGAAGCTATTTGGTTTTTCCATCATAATCGAATAAGCAGTTTGTGTATATATTAGTGGCATAAATAACTCCCATGCATACATTCCCATTGAGAGGTACTCAGGTATAGAGGAAGAAGAGGAGAATTACAAAGTTAAATGCTCTAGGAATCTTGAGCAGAAGCGGATCTGACTTATATGAAATGGTGGAAGAAGTTTCTCATTCAAAGAAAAGTTGATAGTTTATGGGACATGTCTATTAAATAATGAAACTGATACTGTAAAAAAAAAAAAAAAAAAACGCTGCAAATTATTTCACAATGGATTATCATTTCCAAACAATTATACATCTAAAGTAACATTACCTTCCGAGTTACAAACAAAACAAAACAAAAGGTGATTCCAATTATTGGACTAAACTGTTTTCTTTAATCATTAGTAATATGCTAAAAAAAAATAGCATTAGTTCAGCAACACATTCAAAATTTAAAAACCAAACCAAGGATATAACATTTGAAGTAGAACATATAAAAAAAAATCGAAGACCATATCTTTGCTCCTAATTGTCCGATTTTAACGATTTTTTTAGGAAATTTCGTTAACTTTTAAAAAACTACATACAATATTAACAAAAAAGTAAAAACTTTTCGAGTTATTCGGAATTTAATTTTACTATCCCTCGTAACTTTTTTTCCAGCTTCTTTTCGTTGAAGTATGTTATACAGATAAATTTAAAGGGCGTCGAGAAAATGACTTTAGCCAACATTCATTCAAATCTGTACATTCGTTTAGGAGCTACAGTCTATAGCAACGCAGGGTTTTCGGCCCCATTTTGAAAGTTAGTAATGCCGATGAAGGAGGATCATCCTCGGGTGACCTCTGATTTTATATCAAAATATGAAAAAAATCGGTCCAGTAGTTTCGGAGAAAATGCGCGGACGGCGGATGGACAAAAAAATGTTTATTCGTTTTTCGAATTATACGTGTCCTGAAACGTGAAACCTCAAATTTTGAGAGGGGGTTAAGTTTTTGAATTTTTTGGTCGATCACAATGGTTGATTATTGAAAATAATAAACCAAAATTTGATTTCATACATATTTATTGACTAAAAAAAATAATTATGAATAGCTTAGTAAGATTTGTAGAAGGGACCCCGAGACGTTCCCGTGTTTCTCAGTACTATGCCCAGTTAGGGTGGCTCTTCCTCTCCTTCAGAATACTTCCTTGGCACATTCCTTTATCAAATAATCAACAACCATCGCCCGTCCTATGTATACAATCTCCTCCAATTTAAATCATCTGTCCACTCCCTCTCCACAAGATCTCGGCCTTCTGACCTTTAAACCCCTTTCCATAGATCTGCTTCATTTCAACATTCCTTTATTGTTCGCTCATCCACCTTTTGGAATTCCATCCCACTTAAAATCCGCCATGCACTATCCTTATCCACATTCAAAACCCTCTTATTCCAATTCCTCTTCACAAACCAATCAGATGCTGGTTAATTATGTATCATGTAACAAGGATAATGTTTTTTAAAAATATTTTTTTGTTTTTCATACACCACTATTTTATTTTATTTTTTGTTTATTATTTGTGAACTGGAAAGATTCAGTATAACTTTTGGCATAGCACTGTGAAGTGATGTATAAAGAATAAGTGATTGCTTGTTGTTTTTATCCATTTTTCTTTTTTCTATCTACAAGATTGTGTATATTTTAGACGTATTTCATTTCCACAATTTGTATACATATATATCTTTCTATTGTTTTTTCTTTCTATTCATGTAATTCTTTTTTTTTTCTTTTTTTTTTTCCTTTTCTTTTTGTTATTTTTTCCAGTAAAATTATAAATGTAGTTAAGATTTTATTTTATTTTTTAGTTATTTACATACTATTATTTAAGTTGTATATATTGTTTGAATCTGTATTAAGTTAGTTTTTGGCCAGATGTGTATTTTTTTTTTTGTAACTGTACATTATTGTTATTCTAAGGGGACATCGTCCCAGAATAAAGTTTATTTTCTATTTCTATTTCTATTTCTATTTATTTATTATCATTTTCAATATGCACCCCTCCTCTATCACGACAACGTACAGTGCAAATATTTTAATGTCTGAAAAAGTTCTGGAAGTCTTCTTCTGTCAGCTCCTTCAGGATGCCTGCCACTTTCTCTTTCACAGCTCCAAGGGTCTCAAATATTTTTCCTTTTAATGCAAATTGATGATTTGCAGTATCTTACTCATGATCCTCGAATGAGCGAATCAAAATCCAAAGCAATGATCATTTTTTTTTATATCCATAGTTCCCAGTCCGCTGGGGTTTCACGAGGTAGTATCCTAAGTCCTATCCTTTATACAGCTGACATCCCTACCTATCTCAACACTGTCATCACCATATATGACATAAGTTTCCTATCAGCAAATAATGGTCCATCAATTGCATCCCAAATGCTTCAATCACTCATCATAAATCTTGAAGAATGGTATCAAAACTGGAGAATTAAAATAAATTCCACCAAATTACCTTTACCCTTCGTCGTAAACCAATGACTTCCTGTCCTACAGTTTCCTTTAACAATACTTCACTCCCTGTTGAGCAAATCCACTACCTAGCCTAGGAGTCAACCTGGACAAATGACTAACTTGGAATCCTCATACCAGACCACGGGCGGATCTACGGAGGGGGGGGGGAGGCTTTCGGGCTGAAGCCCCCTCCCCCCAAAATGGTAAAATATAACCATGTTTTATCGAAAAAAATATTTAAAAAGTATCTCTTAAAGTATTATTGTTCATGTAATTACAATTAAGAGGGCTTTAGGAATCACTTAAACACCATTTCATATAGGTAGTTAGTTTCTTTCTTTTTTTCCAAAGTAATTATCGTAATTTTTATGAAAAAAACAACTTTCGGGCTGAAGCCCCCCTCCCCCCAAAAATAAATCCTGGATCCGCCAGTGTACCAGACTGAAACGACAAGAAACCACTCGACTTTTCCGATTACTTCAGTACTTACTAGACAAACGCTCTAAACTTCTAATTAATTAAAAAAGACTCATACACATGATTATAATAAGGCATATTTGGACTTACGGAGTTGAGCTATGGGGCTCCACTAAACCATTGAATTCCTCTCGTATCCAATCCTTACAATCCAAAATCCTCAATGCTCCCTACTTTGTTACAAATAAAACCATCCATAATGACCATAATGTTCCTTATGTTTCAGATCTGACCCAATCCAGATACCTATCCTTCCATGATAAACTTCAGAATCATCCCAACCCTCCCGTTTCTAACCTTGCTTTCTCTTTAATTCCTGAGAATCCTCTGAGGCGTCTGAAAAGAAGATGGTCCCGTACTAGCGATTGTAGCGGTCTATCCAGGCGCCAAGTCCTGAGGGGCGCAACTCAGTGGTAAAATATCAGCATGGAGGTCTCTGAAAGACTTTCATAAAAAACCCGGAGGTACTATAAATGGGTACCGGTGGCACAATATTTTGATTGATTGCTGGAGGTTAATTGTGCCTAGTGTTGCCCAAAATAGGTCTTGGTCTTGCAATTTGCAAGACCAAGGCCGCCTAACTGTTGCAAGACCAAGACCAGGACTGGTAAAAAAAAATAAATTTTTTAATTAACAATTAAGGCAGAATAGTTACTAATACTTGACAATCTTAGTTACTATATGTTAATAATTGGTATAATCAATATACTTTTGCATTTAACTCCTCTAATTTTTCATTCGGGTTTATTTAGGTTTCTCCTATCTAAAAAATTACAGTAATATCTCTATAGTAATTAGCTAATAAGTAAATGCGAGACCATGACCAAGGTAAAGACCATGACCAAGGCTGAGTTTGCAAGATAAAGACTCGTCTCGGTCCCGCATTTGGGCAACACTAATTGTGCCGCTTCTTATCCTCCAGTGAGGAAGGAAGAGAATGGCAAAAAGGCCCACCTGTCGGACTAGTTTTCCCACCAGTACCAGTACCAGACTTCCAAAACTGATTTTTGAAATATTTTAGTGTTCAACCTTCAAAGAGCTCATATTAGTTCTGGTTTTGATGTTAATGAGATAATTAAACAATTATCTCGAAAACAAACATCCCACACTATTCATAAAATATTTGGAAAGAACAAACCATAATGTAATGATTTTTGTTTTTGTTTTCTTATTCCTAAATCCTAAAAATTTAAAACTCCCCGACACTATTATTATAACCAGGTTTTAAATATTTAATTTTAACATTAGCCGAATGGACTTCACAGGAAGCGCATCTGCTCACAGCCTGCGTAATCCTGCTGCGAACATGGTGTTCCCCTGCGGCGGCGCCATTCTCAACAGGCTCTTCATCCTGACAGCTGGCCACTGCTTCCTGGATCCGAAGTCATTACCGTAAGTTACTTTGATACACTGGCGGATCCAGGATTTAATTTGGGGGGGGGCTTCAGCCCGAAAGCTTTTTTTTCATAAAAATAACGATAATTACTTTGGAAAAAAAGAAAGAAACTAACTACCTATATGAAATGGTGTTTAAGTGATTCCTAAAGCCCTTTTAAATGTACAATAATACTTTAAGAGATATTTTTTAAATATTTTTTTCGGTAAAACATGGTTATATTTCACCATTTGGGGAGGGGGGGCTTCATCCCGAAAGCCCCTCCCCCCCCGTAGATCCGCCCATGCTTTGATATATTGTAACGCAACAAGTTTATGAGGCTTCAATCTCTTTGGAGTGAAAACTTCTTTAGGCGAGTTTTACACTATCTTGTGGAGAGTGAATTAGATTGAGCCGTCAGTTTTCCGATGTGTAACGCTCGAGTAAAGTCGGATGGAGTCGACTAATTGAAGTCTCTTTGCACCTGGATTAAAATATCTCAAAACTAAAAATCGGAGCAGCATATTGTTAGCGTGGGAAGTGTTTATTATTTCATCCTCTTTGTAATGAGCTGTTATTCAAAATTGTATCTTAACGCAACGCCGTGTTTGAGAACGGAAAGAGAAAAGTAGTGTAGAAAATCAAATTATAACGAGTTTTATAGAAGATATGGACTAAAATATTTCAGAAACTAAAAATCGGATCTGCATGCTGTAAGTGAGGGAAATGTTCAGCATTTCATGCTGTTTATAATGAGCCACGGGCGGATCTACGGGGGAGAGGGGGCTTTGGGGCTGAAGCCCCCTCTCCCAAAATGTTACATGCGAATAATTCGCAAAGTTTATCAGGCTGTGAACAAATGAAAATATGACTCAGAAATAATTAAATGCAATAATTTATGGGAGTGAGGAACAGAATCTGCATAGAAGGGAAATCTTTCTCTAAAGTAGAAAAATCCAAACATCTCGGCTCCACAATAAGATCAATGAACGTCCAACGGTCAGATATAGGTTAGCGTATAATTTGCGCAAATACAGCTTTCTTCTCCCTCTCAAAGATATTAAAATCCCGAAAATTTTCAAGAAATCCCAAACTAAAGGTGGACAATGCTATGATAAAGCCAGTTCTAATATATGGCTGTGAGGCCTGGACACTAACCAGCACCTAGAAAAAAGTATTGAAAGATTTGAGAGAAAAATCTTCGCACGATAACCGGAGAGGTATCAGAGTACTGACACATGGAGAAGAAAGACCAATAAATAACTGCTTACAGAAACTGGTCAATCAATATCTCATTATATGAAGTCACGAAGGTTAAGATGGGCGGAGCATGTAGCTTATAGCAATTGATCTGGAAGCCTCTGCGCAAGGTCGGATCTACGGAGAACGGGTTTTCGGGCTGAGTTTTCAATGGAAATACATACAAATAAAAATGTTTTGAGGTCTTTTGTGTCCAAATAACCAAGTCCCGCAAAATGGCGTGTTTATATGTTATCTGTCTAGCTCAAAAACGAAAAGTCCTATGAAAGTGAAATTGCATATTTAATAATTTTATAAGCATTTGATATTACAGCAGGATTTTCGTAAAAATCGGAAATCCGGAAATAGTACTTATATAATCGATTTAACACATTTTTACGATTTTCTCAAAAACGGCTCTGACGATTTTGAATAAACTCAGTATATGTGTGTATTATTAGGCAGATTTTAATATAGGTTTTATTCTCATTGATGTTATCTATCAGGGATTAAATGTCTAATTTTCAATATTGACTTCCCCTAAAGTGCCTTTATTTATTTTGTTATTTTGAAATAATTAACCATTTCACATTAATCTTTGATATCAAAATAATTAAATATAAAACATGAAAGAATTTGATAATTAACTAAAGGAGAAATAAGAGATCGTAACGGATAATAGTTGTAATTGTGGAACCAAAGGAATACGAGCGCACCCGAGCTCGCCCGAAAGATTAGAATACGCTTCCATACGTTTCATGACGTTAATATAATACGGACTCTGACAATATTATATACAGATACTGGTATACAGATTAATGCGTGAATATTTTTATATTAATGAGGCATGAAGCCCTCAAAGCCTCTTCAACTGTATGTTTTTGCTTATTCCTTTCAATAATGAACCATTGTTCGTTATCAAGAAATAAAAAAAAAAAATCCTCACTCTTATTTTTTTTTTTCTGTTGACATTAGAGACATTGTAGATATTTTGCCGCCTTAACAAGCCTGCTCCATATCTGCCTGTCTTGTGCTATTTATTTCCAGTTGTCTTCACACAGCTCTATGCATGTTGATTCTTGGTTAATTCTATCTATCCATCTGCTTTTTAGCCTTCCACGTGATCTTTGGCCTTCTATTGAAGCATTAATTGTTACGTAGAGGCACTAGCGGATCCAGAATTTAATTTAGGGGGCCTTCAGACCAAAAGCTTATATATATATATATAAAACGATTTTTTTTTTATTATTTATTTATATGATATTTACAACTGTATACAAAAAATACATCTGGTAAATTCGCACATGGATATAATGACATGGAACACATGTTGAGAAACTACCCATTGGTAGCACTCTAATAATATGTCTATATTAGAAGATCACGTGGCCATCTTCTTTTCAGATGCCTCGGAGGGTTATCAGGGATCGAGGAGGAAGCAAGGTTTGAAATGAGAGGGTTGGGATGGTTATGAAGTTTATTATGGAAGGACAGATATCTGGATTGGGCCAAATCTGATACATAAGGAACATTAAGGTCATTATGGATAATTTTATTTGTAACAAAGTAAGGAGCATTGAGGATTTTCCGAAGGATTTTGGATTGTAAGGATTGGATGCGAGAGGAATTTGAAGGTTTGGTGGAGCCCCATAGCTCAACTCTGTAAGTCCAAATAGACCTAATTATAGTCATGCAAATGAGTCTTTTATAATTGATTGGAAGGTTAGAGCGTTTGTCTAGAAAGTGTTGAACTAGTCGGAAACGTCGAGCTGTTTCTTGTCGTTTCAGTCTGGTATGAGGATTCCAAGTTAGACGTTTGTCCAGAAGGAGTCCTAGGTAACGGATTTATTCAACAGGAATAAGTGAGGTGTTGTTAAAGGATACTGAAGGACAGGAAGTCTTTGGTTTACGACGAATATATTACGATAATTAAAAAAAAGAAAGAAATGAACTACCTATATGAACTGGTGTTTAAGTGATTCCTAAAGCCCTTTTAAATGTAATTACACGAACAATTATACTTTAAGATATAATTTTTTAAATATTTTTTTCGATAAAACATGGTTATATTTTATCATTTTTTTTGGAGGGGGGGGAGGAGAGAAGAAGGGCTTCAGCCCGAAAACCCGTTCCCCGTAGATCCGATTTTGCGTAAAGGCTTCCAGATCAATTGCTAAGAGCTACATGCCCCGCCCATCTTAACCTTCGTGACTTCATATAATGAGATATTGATTGACCAGTTTCTGTAAGTAGTTATTTATTGGTCTTTCTTCTCCATGTGTCAGTACTCTGATACCTCTCCGGTTATCGTGCGAAGATTTTTCTCTCAAATCTTTCAATACTTTTTTCTAGGTGCTGGTTAGCGTCCAGGTCTCACAGTCATAGGTTAGAACTGGCTTTATCATAGCATTGTACACCTTTATTTTGAGATTTCTTGAAAATTTTCGGGATTTTAATACCATTAAAGGGGAGAAGAAAGATCTGTTTGAGCTAATTATACGCTAACCTATTTCTGACCATTGGCCATTCATTGATCTTATTGTGGAGCCGAGGTGTATGGATTTTTCTACTTTCGAGAACGATTTTCCTTCTATGCAGATCCTATTCCTCATTCCCATAAATTATTGCATTTAATTATGTCTGAGTTATATTTTCATTTGTTCACAGCCTGATAAACTTTGCGAATTATTCGCATGTAACAACTAGTATAAACTATTGTTAAATAAAGTTGTTTTATTTGTTCGTATTCCACTTGCTAATGAAACAAAATGTCTGCTTTTCAGGACGACGGTGCGCGCAGGTGAGTTCGACACCTCGAAGGAAATAGACTGCCACCAAGAATTCTGTGCTCCGCCGGTCCAGGATATCCGGATCAAGGAATATTACACGCCTCGATACTTCAAGCCCAATTCGATGGAGAACGATATAGCTCTGGTACTATTGTCCAAGCCGATTGAGTTTAGCGGTGAGTCCGTCAAACGAGAATATTCCTTATTACAAATTCATGGGTCAAAATTGGTTCCATTTATACAATAATGTGTTGATAATATAAATTATTATTAAAATAATAAAATTATTATTACACTGGACAGGCAAACTATTTCACCCACTTGATATTTCCACACACCATTTTTTCATCTAAAAATATTTCTGCTTTGGATTGGTCTATTGTTTTTAATGAATTAATAGGTAATGTTTTTTTTTTATTTTCAATTAGGAATGTTAATATAGAGGACAATAAGCCTTAATCCTTAATTCAATGAAATGATTCTAGATTCCAATGTTTACTTTCTGTGGAATCAAAATGTTTATTCAGTATTAGTGCCGTTTCTTGCAGCACATTTCTTAGTCTTGCAGCACAATTCGATTTGCATCTGCTCATCATTGATCATCAAGCCCAAGATAAACTAACATGGCTGCCTGAGGAGTTTGGTTGCTGTCAATATAAACCGGAGGGCAATAATTTTTTCGAAGAGCAAATTTTATATGATTTAGACGAATGTTTCTAAGTATTTATGTTTGAAAAAAAAAACTTTGAAGTAATTGCAATTGTAAAAATAATTTTTTCTATTTTTGTTAGATCAGCAGCCCCTCCCCTCCCACTCCCTGGTACGAAAACAACAAAACTTTACATACGTAAAGTTTTAATTTAATTACATAGAAAATACAATAAGTAAATGTGACATTGGTAACATGACATGTACAACATGAAGAGAAATTACCCATTGGCAGAACTCAAATTAAAGTTCTATATTAGAAGGTCCCGAGATCATCTTCTTTTCGGACGCCTCGGAGGGTTATCAGGGATCGAGGAGGAAGCAAGGTTTGAAACGAGAGGATTCGGATGGTTCTGCAGTTTGCTATGGAAGGATAGGTATCTGGATTGGGCCAAATCGGAAACATATGGAACATTTAGGTCATTGATTATTTTATTTGTTACAAAGTAAGGAGCGTTGAAGATTTTACGAAGGATTTAAAGGATTGGATACGAGAGGAATTCGATGGTTTAGTGGAGCCCCAAAGCTCAATTCCGGAAGTCCAAATAGATCTTATTATTGTCATAGATATGAATCGTTTGTAATTGATTGAACGCTTAGAGCGTTTGTCTAGTAAGTGCTGCAGTATAACGTAAATTTAGAGTGTATTTTTTTATTAGTTAAATATTATTTCGGTGTTATTTATACGATTAAAGGAACAAATGTAAAAATAGTCGAAAACGTCGGGTGGTTTCTAGTCGTTTCAGTCTGGTATGGGGGTTCCAAGTGAGTCGTTTGTCAAGGTGGAGTCCTAAGTATCGGATTTGTTCGACAGGGATAAGTGGGGCCCCAGGTCATCCTTCTGTCAAATATTAGTCCGAGGTAGCGTATAGTGTCCGTCCGAGGAATTGGATTGTTGCTGATATAAACTGGGTGTCTCGTCGAAGCGTAAATGTCATGTGTTGTGATTTGTTATAATTTAATCTAATTTTCCAGAGTATATTCTATATCTTAATATATGTTTTTTTATTTGCAGAAGTCGTGGCTCCAATATGCATGCCGACATTTTCACTCAGTAAAAGTAATTTAACTGGCAAATCTGTAGAAGTTGCTGGTTGGGGTCTCACCAACATCTGTAAGTATATCATATATTATAATTTGATAGCGGGAAAAAGTATCCATATGCAGTGCAGTATGGCGTTTTTAATAATTGAAAGATCTAAAAACGGCATACCTTATAAAACGTATGATAGGTTAGGCCAGTATAGCTTTCTGGTTGTAGCTTTCTCACCATTTTCACTGGATCCACACTTATCTATATCTTACGGTCGATAATTTTTTGTTTGTGAATAAAATCTTCGGAGTAGATGTTACATAATAAGATAGATGTTTTCAATTCGCATTCATTAAAAAACAAGATCTCTTAAATCTTTAATTTTATTCCTTTACACATCATCCAAATAATCCACTTGCACAATTTCTATCTAGCTCTACTCCTCCACACAATCCTCCTCGAAGGTTTTATAAGCATATGTTGGAGTTCTGGTAGTGGCCAAATCCTCGACTCCAGTCATGTATGTGTGATTATAATGCCTCTGCTCAGTCTTGGAAAAATAGTTGATGTTGACTACATTACATTTAGTTTTAGTTATATTATTTTATTTTTATTTATTGTACATAGGGTGTGAATGTGCTCTCTGAAGACTATTATAAATGTCCTTAATTGAGACTGTGGCGGCAGTGGGTATTTTAAAAATTAAATACCTATCCTGCACAACCTATTCCATAGGCTAATATAAAAAAAAAACTAGTAGGCCCCTGCGAAAAATTCGCACAGAATATTGTTATCGAATGCCAAATTACTAATAAAAGAAAATATTGCAACGTATCAAAAGATAAAGAAATCAAATGTTACTTTATCGATAAAAATAATCGACAAAGAAAACAAAAATTAATTTAAATCTTCATTTTTGATTGGAACCAACATGTTTACATATTTCTGTAAGCTGAATCTTTGCTAAAAATTGTCCGATTTCGATTATTATTTTTTTTTTTTTTGTAGGAAATTAAGTAATCTTTTATATAATGGGCATAGCCAAGGGAAAAGTGCGTATTTTTTTAGTTATTCAAAAAATATTCGAACCTACTTTCCTCCTTCGGTCAGTACAAATGGTTTCAACGTCGTACTGATACTGTAGCTATATGCCAAATATATAGTTTTTTTTTCAAATGAAATAGGCTATAATAGAATTTTCCTAATGAATATTAATCGAAAATAAGAAAAAAAAAATAAAATGAAAAAATAAATATTGAAAAAATTTCTGATCGATTTCGATGATTTTTTTTATCCTTTTGTAGGAATTTAGTAATATTTTATATAATCATGGGCATAACCATGGGAAAAGTGTGTAATTTTAGTTATTCGCAAATAAAGTTTGTTTTCTTTCATAATTTGTTTGCCTGAATTTTCGGGGTGATTGGACTATTTTGTCCGCCTGAAGGAGAAGGAAGCCTTCGAAATTGGTGGCTCAATCTTGAGATTTGGTGAAAAATTAACGATGATATGGCTTGCCGATCAAAAACAACATCGATAAATAATATAAACTCCTCCTCTCTAGATCATAGAGACCTCAAGTCGACGAAATGAGACATGTGTACTACAATTAATGTAAGGTTGTGTGGATGCGAACCCTATGCCTTGCGTTATCTCGAAAATAGTACGTTTTTGGGCTTTAAAACGCAGGATCCGATAGGAGGAAATATCAGGGTCTTGCTGTACGCATCAAAATCTTCAAGGTCCAATTTGTCCCGTATCGATCTACAGACTTACCACCGTTCCAGTATTGAAGCCTAGCAAAATGTTTATATAGACTTTATTTATTTTAGAAAGAAAAACAAAACTGAAGAATACGATTCGCTAACCCCCCGTGAAATTCTGAATCCAACGGTATCCCATTCATGGTATTTGAGCATGACAGGAGTTTATATTTGGTACAAAACCGATTTCGAGCCCTGCTGTAATAATATATGTGGGGATATATTATAAAAGCTTGCATGAGACCAGTAATGATAATGGGCTACGGATGGTGAACTTTGCTACATTGCACGGACTGGTTGTTGGAACAACTCTTTTTCCTCGAAAGAATATCCACAAAGCAACATGGATCTCTCCAAATGGGCAAACAGCATCACAGATAGACCATGTACTCATTAGTGCCCGTCACAAGTCCAACATGATAAATGCAAGATCTTATAGAGGTGCAAATATGGACACGGATCACTATTTGAGCATTACCGAGGTCAGATCACGAATTTCGCTGATTAAAAACCACTACCAACGACCAAAGAAGAAGATTGATGTGGTTAAACTTAAGGACTCAGACCACCAATATTCGTATCAACAAGCTGTGGAGACGAAACTTAATGAAGAAGTAATTAATGACAGCTCTATGGTCGATGAACAGTGGAAGAGATGCAGCAACGCAATGAAACAGGCAGCAGAAGAAGCTCTTGGCTACGAGACTATATCTAGAAGGCCCCCATGGTTTGATGCTGAGTGCCTTCAAGCAGTAAAAGTGAAAAATGAAGCCTACAGAAAGAAGGTTCAGCGTCCCACAAGGCTCTCCCAAGAAACATATCGAAGAAAAAGACGCGAAGAGAAGAGATTATTTCGCGGAAAGAGAAGAGCTTGGGAAAATAAGAACATGGAGGACACAGAGGCATTGCGCGGCCAAAATGAAAGTCGCCTGTTCTTTCAGAGAATAAACGAGGGTAGGGCAGCTTTTAGGCCCAGAGTGACGGCATGCAAAGACACGAATGGATCTCTTTTAAGCTACAAAGATGACATACTAAGGAGATGGGTACAACATTTCAAAGGCGCATTAAACAGAGGAACGGTGCCTGGAGAAGTAGGTGTAATGAAGGAAGACTCCCTGAATTCTATTGAACCCCCGGATGAGGAGGAAATGGAAAACGCCCTGAGGAAATTGAAAAATGGAAAGGCGCCAGGCCCGGACGAAATCCAGTCAGAGCTGTTGAAATGTGGAGTTGAAGAACTCAAGAAAGCTCTGCATGATTTAATGCTGACCATCTGGGAGAGGGAAGCTATGCCTATGGAATGGGCAACAGCCATTATCTGCCCAATACATAAGAAAGGAGATCAAACAGAATGCGCTAACTATCGAGGAATCTCACTCCTTTCGTGTGCTTATAAGCTGCTCTCTAACATTCTTTTTGAAAGGATCCTCCCGTATTCTGAAAAGGAACTGGGGAAATATCAGGCTGGATTTCGAAGAGGACGCTCAACCACTGATCAACTGTTCTCTCTGAGGATGATCCTAGAAAAGACTATGGAGCGTAAGGTAGTCACCCACCATTTATTCCTGGACTTTAAAGCAGCAGACGACAGCGTTGATAGAACGCAACTATACTGTGCCTTGGAGGAGCTAAGCATCCCTCAGAAGCTCGTACGCCTAATCAAGATGACCATGGACAGCTCGAGATGTAGAATACGCGTCGGTTCTGACGACTCTGAAGAGTTTAAAGTGAGCAGTGGGGTTAGGCAAGGGGATGCCCTCGCCTGTCTATTGTTCAACTTGGCAGAGGAGAAAGCTGTGAGAGACCCCGGTATTCAGACCAACGATATAATCTTCAATCGCCTGACACAGCTTCTTGGTTTTGCTGATGATATTGACATAATAGGTAGGTCTGAACGGGCTCTCAGAGAAGCGTTTATAGGCCTTGAAGCAGCCAGCAAGACCACTTGGTCTAGAAGTCAACAAGAGGAAAATTAAGTATATGAGAGTTGGTGGTGAGGTGGATCTGAACTCTCCATTTGAGGTAGGTTCTTTTAAGTTTGAGAGAGTGAAAAGTTTTATATACCTTGGGTGTGAAATTAATAGCAAAAATGACATGGCTCAAGAAATACAAAGAAGGATCACGGCTGCCAATAGATGTGTCTTTGGACTTGGCCGACACTTAAGAAGTAGGTACCTCTCAAAGAAGACCAAGCTAATCATATACAAGACCCTTGTTCGGCCTGTTTTGACATATGGCTCAGAGGCTTGGACGATGACTAAAAGGGATGAGATGAAGCTGAGTGTCTTTGAGCGAGGAGTCCTCAGAAGGATTTATGGTCCAGTAAAGGAGGGTGATGTCTGGAGGAAAAGAAAAAATAGGGAGCTCAGTTCTCTCTATACAGACATCGACGTAGTCACGTATATTAAACTGGCCAGATTAAGATGGGCAGGGCATGTGGCCAGAATGAGCACGCTTGAAATACCCAAGAAAATAATGATGGAGGAGCTGCACCTCGTAAGACGGGTAGGAAGGCCGAGGACGAGATGGTTAGACAACGTGGCCTATGATGCGAGAACCCTGCTTGGTGTGCGGAACTGGAGAGCTGCAGCAGAAGACAGAGCCAACTGGCGGAGGCTCTTGGAGGAGGCCCAGTCTCGGTAACGGGATGTTGTGCCACACATGATGATGATGATGATGATATTATAAAAGGAAAAACTATAAACCGAATAGCAGTACTTACTATTGTATTGAAATAATAAATGATTTAATACATGATAACAAATTAATAAATTAAAAATATTTCTTCTAATATAAAAGAATAATAAAAGAAATAAAATTATCCTAAAGAACATTTAACGAAAAAAAAAAAAGAAAAGAAGAAGAAACCTTAGAATTAGATTTAAAATTTTTAGTTTTTTTTTTGATACTAGAAATATACTCAATTGTTGCCAATTTTAAGTTATTACTGTCAAATAACTAAAAATAAATAAACAACTTCCCAGAAAAAAGAAAAAAGTAGATTTAAAATGTTTTATAAAGGAAGGAGATGGTCCGGGGCGGCGGTCATAAATAGGCCAAACAGTGGTAAAACTATTTTATTAAAAGCCAACGTTTCGACCCGACTTTGCAGGTCTTCTTCAGGACTAGAACGGACAAGATACAAACAGATAGAGAATTATGGAAGTGACATATATTATTTAGACAAAAAATTATAAACAATGTGAATAAGCTTATTAAAATTATAAACATTTAGTACACTAAAATATAAACAGAGTAAGCTAAGTAACAAGAACTTAAAACTGAAGTAAATAGATGGTAACAATTGTTGTAGAGTAATATATAATAAATGCAAATGTGAATGTACTTCTACAGATCTACAGGAGAGATTGAAAGAAAAGGAAAAAGGATATAACATGAAATAATAGAAATAAAGTAAACCAAAAAATTAAATAAATAAGTAAATAAAATTAGAGACTTACAGATGTGTTCAGCTAGGAGTTTCACTTAGAACTGGAAAACGAGGGTAAGGGCAGGTATTGGGGAATTTGCTGACTTGTTTGGGTAATGGGGAAAAACCTAGAAAATTACAGTATCTAAAATTTGAAGATGTGGATGGATACAAGGGGAAAAAAATACTATATCTATGAAATATTAAATTATAAATATACACATGTAGCATATATATATATATAAGAGTACAATGTGAATAAAAAAAAATGGAAGAAGTAAAGCGTACATAGAAGTAAAATATAAATATAGAAATAAGTGACCATCCTTTGCAGAACTAACTTAGAAGTATAGAGAGGGAAAAAATGAATAACTATAATTATATTTGGTTGTTCACATGTAAGAAAATTACATTTAAATATTAGATAATATTGAGACATGGTTAAAAAGTAAAATGAATACAAAGTGAAAACGGATGATCATACATTGATGTAAATGTAAATATAAAATTAAAATAAAATAAAAGAGAGATTTTACAAAGCGGAAATACTTAGAATAATGAACAATAAAATTGAATTAAAAAGTTTTATGTGTGTTTTAATCTATATAATCATATAATACAAATTGATTCAATTTAAATGTTTAATTAATCTAGAACTATTAAAAAGTATTACATAAATATTTATATATATGTATATAAATTTAAATTATATTTTATAATAGTGAAAATAAAAAAAGGTTATGGTGAAACAGGTATTGCATTGGAAATCTTCACTATTATAGTTAGTGCACTAGCTACTACACTATGACAGTGCTTAATAAAGGTGGCATGAAGTACTGTAGAAATAAGAGTTCAGCCTCAATGCGAGGTATTTAATTACAAACATGATGTTTTGTCTTTCACCATTAAAATAGAGGACCCGTGGGGTCTAAAATGTCCTTTAAGGGGGGCGACAATCTCCTTATAATGTTAATGATGAAAACAAAATTATATCACCTCCACCCGGACTTATTTCCCTTTCAACTGCCCCTGATGTGGATGAAACAACCTCAGTCACACCAGAGCCTTAGAATTGGTTCTGATGAGGACGTAGGCAAGACTAGCATTAAACTTGGCGCCCGATTAATCCGTAATATAGGCCACGTATTTAAACCTTAATAGTTATTTATAATATTAGTTGTACATGGACATATATTCCATAGATATATATATATATATATATATATATATATATATATATATATATATATATATATATATATATATATATATGGAATGTTAATATAGAGGACAATAACCCTTAATCCTTAATTCAATGAAATGATTCTAGATTCCAATATTTACTTTCTATGGAATCAAAATGTTTATTCAGTATCATTAGTTCAGTGCCGTTTCTTGCAGCACATTTCTTAGTCTCCGGCTTTTAATTTTTTCAATATTAAGTTTAAAAATGCCTCTAAGTGCTGAGGATGTTGCGCGTGGTGTGTCACTTATTGATGATGGACGTTCCATTAGATATGCAGCTAATGCCATCGGAGTTCCGTATGAAACTTTACGAGACGCCGTCAGGCGTTTTTGGGAAACTGGTTCTTACATTAGAAGGCCCGGTTCTGGACGGCTTAGGGTAACACAACCACGGGATGACCGGTTTTTGACTTTGAGAATTTTACGAAACCGGCACCTTACCTTTGTTCAAGCGATTCATCGCCTCGAACTTCTGGTCTACAAATTTCTGAACGCATCGCTCGGAGAAGATTAAATGAATATGGATTAATGGCTTTTCGCCCAGTAAGAGGACCAGAGTTGACCAGAACTCACAGAGTAACACGGCTGGCTTTTGCTCGAGAACACAGCCATTGGACTATGGACGAATGGAATGCTGTACTTTTTACAGATGAGTCAAGATTCGCTCTTCAATCTCCAGACGGGCATGAAAGGGTGTGGAGAAGAAGAAACGAAAGATATGCAGCCTGTAATTTTTCTCAGAGCCAACCTTTCCAACGTGGTTCCTTAATGGTGTGGGCTGGGATTTCAATGGAGCGCCGCACAGAATTTGTTGTTGTTCGTGGAGGGTCTTTGACGGCCATTCGCTATGTAGATGAGATTTTGGAACCTCATGTGTTGCCTATTCTCAACGAAATCGGCGATCGTTCTAATGCACGATAATGCACGCCCACTGGTCGCCCGCATAGGGCAGACGTTCCTTCTACAGAACAATATTGAGGTTTTAGCCTGGCCAGCACGTTCTCCAGATTTGAACCCATTGAGCAATTATGGGATAACCTCGGAAGACAAATAAGAGCGCGTACAACACTTTCTGATACACTGCAGGACCTTGAAAGGGCTCTTCGGGAGGAATGGGATATCCTCCAGCAAAGGGACATTTCCCGACTGGTGGAAAGTATGCCGAGGCCTCTTCAAGAAGTATTGAAGGCAAGAGGAGGAAACACGCGCTACTAAACGATGATGTAATTAATTTATTTTAGAATAATAATGGTTCGTTTTTCAATTTTTTTTTGTTTCTCTAATCTTTTTTACACAATCACATTTTGATTATTAAAGGTTAAAAAAGATTATACCATAAATACTAAGTATTATCTACAAATACCATGTATTATATACAAATACAACTTTACAGAAATATTTTTATATGAAAACATGGAAAAATCAAGTGGGTGGAATTTTTTGCCTGTCAGTGTATATAGTACATAAACACATATACATAAATATAAATTTTACTGTTGGCCACGACAGAGACAGATTATAAAATTTCTCAAGAAACAAGTTCTAAATATTATATTTCAAATACAAGTGTATTTTAATTAATTTTGAATGTATTTTATGATAAAAATAAAATTAGCGTTCTAAAGAAAATAAATTATACATAACTAACAACACCTCTATTCATTTATGATCAGTATATATGCGAAAACGTATTATCCTTGATACGCCTATCTCAAAAACCGCATTCAAAATGTTTTTATTTTATTTTTTTATCAACACTTTGAAAGAAAGATTCATCCTGTATAGGTTTCCTTGCCTGTTTCAGATACGAGGAAGACGCCCACTGTCTTGCATTCTGTGACCTTGAAGGTAGTTGAGAACACCTGGTGTAAAATGTATAAGGAAAAACATTCTAGCTTCCGTAAGTATCAATTTCTTTTGTATGAAATAGGTTCTGCCAAAAGGATGGGTAAATTCCTTTGAAATATAAATTTAATTTTGATTGCAGTAATAATATTTCAATTAAGTCAGTCTTTATTTAGGGTGCCTCAGTTCCTAATGACCAAACACTGAGGGCTGATTCTAGATAAAATTTCTAAATAAAAAGTTTTTGATGCATGGGTCGATTCCGAAAAAAAAAAATGAGTTAAGACCAATTTTAATATTTTATATGTTAATATTTTACTGAATTAGAGAAAATGTAAACTCAACTTAATTGTTCTAAGATGAAAGCTCACCAAACAAGAACCTTTCTTCTGAAAGTGAGATATCTGCAGACCAGTTTGGGGGGTTATACAAACAATCACGAATTCTTGATTTTATGAAAAATCTAACTTACTGAAGTTTAATTACATAAAAGTACCCTTTAAATGGTTTAAATAAAAACATGATTTACTTGTGTTTAATTTAAATTTCCATACCAGACTGAAACGACTTGAAACCGCCCGACGTTTTCGACTACCGCAGCACTTACTAGACAAACGCTCTAAGCTCACAATCAATTACAAACGACTCATATATATGACAATAATAAGACCTATTTGGACTTACGGAATTGAGCTTTGGGGCTCTACTAAACCATCGAATTCCTCTCGTATCCAATCCTTACAATCCAAAATCCTTCGTATAATCCTCAACGCTCCTTACTTTGTCACAAATAAAATCATTCATAAAGATCTTAATGTTCCATATGTTTCCGATTTGGCCCAATCCAGATACCTATCCTTCCATAACAAACTGCAGAACCATCCGAATTCTCTCGTTTTAAACCTTGCTTCCTCCTCGATCCTTGATAATCCTCCGAGGCGTCTGAAAAGAAGATGGACTCGGGACCTTCTAATATAGAACTTTAATTTGAGTTCTACCAATGGGTAGTTTCTCTTCATGTTGTACATGCCATGTTACCAATTTCTCATTTACTTATTGTATTCTCTATGTAATACAATTGTAAATTCCATTAAAATAATAATAAAAAAAAATTTTGATTGCAGTAATAATATTTCAGTTAAGTCAGTTTTTATTTAGGGTGCCTCAGTTCCTAATGACCAAACACTGAGGGCTGATTCTATATAAAATTTCTAAATAAAATTTTTTTGATGTATGGGTCGATTCCGAAAGGAAAATTAGTTAAGACCAATTTTAATATTTTATATGTTAATATTTTACTGAATTAGAGAAAATGTAAACTCAACTTAATTGTTCTAAGATTAAAGCTCACCAAACAAGAACCTTTTTTTCTGAAAGTGAGATATCTGCAGACCAGTTTGGGGGGTTATACAAACAATCACGAATTCTTGATTTTATGAAAAATCTAACTTACTGAAGTTTAATTACATAAAAGTACCCTTTAAATGGTTTAAATAAAAACATGATTTACTTGTGTTTAATTTAAATTTCCATACCAGACTGAAACGACTTGAAACCGCCCGACGTTTTCGACTACCGCAGCACTTACTAGACAAACGCTCTAAGCTCACAATCAATTACAAACGACTCATATATATGACAATAATAAGACCTATTTGGACTTACGGAATTGAGCTTTGGGGCTCTACTAAACCATCGAATTCCTCTCGTATCCAATCCTTACAATCCAGAATCCTTCGTAAAATCCTCAATGCTCCTTACTTTGTCACAAATAAAATCATCCATAATGACCTTAATGTTCCTTATGATTTGGCCCAATCCAGATACCTTTCCTTCCATAACAAACTGCAGAACCATCCGAATCCTCTCGTTTCAAACCTTGCTTCCTCCTCGATCCCTGATAACCCTCCGAGGCGTCTGAAAAGAAGATGGCCTCAGGATCTTCTAATATAGAACTTTAATTTGAGTTCTACGAATGGGTAGTTTCTCTTCATGTTGTACATGCCATGTTACCAATTTCTCATTTACTTATTGTATTCTTTATGTAATACAGTTGTAAATTCCATTAAAATAATAATAAAAAAAATTTGATTGCAGTAATAATATTTCAATTAAGTCAGTCTTTATTTAGGGTGCCTCAGTTCCTAATGACCAAACACTGAGGGCTGATTCTATATAAAATTTCTAAATAAAATTTTTTTGATGTATGGGTCGATTCCGAAAGGAAAATTAGTTAAGACCAATTTTAATATTTTATATGTTAATATTTTACTGAATTAGAGAAAATGTAAACTCAACTTAATTGTTCTAAGATTAAAGCTCACCAAACAAGAACCTTTTTTTCTGAAAGTGAGATATCTGCAGACCAGTTTGGGGGTTATACAAAAAATCGCGAATTCTTGGTTTTATGAAAAATCTAACTTACTGAAGTTTAACTACATAAAAGTCCCCTTTAAATGGTTTAAATAAAAACATGATTTACTTGTGTTTACTTTAAATTTATTCTAGTTTACTATGAAATAACTGGTTGTATCCTATTTTTTTTTCAATGGCTTTTTTTAATTTTTTTTTATTGAGTATTATAACAATCTGTCTGTTGGACATTGGTTATAGTGAGGTAGGATGACATTCACACTATATGTACAAAAAAATAAAATAAATAGAACAAAATAATAATCAAAAGTATATACAATAGACAATCAAGTAAAATAACCTAAAAAATAAGAAAATTAAAACTAAGAAAAAAAAAACACATGGATACCTATATACAATCAGGCGAGGGAACTCCAGGAGAACCCTGCGCTACTCTCCCAACCGCGTCACTGGTACTAAAACCAGCGGAGATTGGTCGAGAGCACTTTAGCCACATACACTCATGTCTTGAGTGAAGAATCTGGCCATTGCCTGAACTCCAATTTATACAATCTACAAAAGGTCGCGAGGCCACTGCCGTTTCAACCTTCTTGGAGGATTATAGGGATGGGAGGTGCTTGATAGGGATTGTACAACGGGATTTGGGTGATGAGAAAGGTTCTGGTGAAATTTGGAAAATTTGGCTGGGATAAGATCAAGAATAAATGGAATATGAAGGTCATTATGCAGGGTTTTATAGGTTACATAGAAGGGAGCATCGACTATTGTACGGAGGACTTTAGACTGAAAGGATTGAATGCGTTTGATGTTAGAAAATTTAGCTGTTCCCCATAGTTCTAGTCCGTAAGTGCAGATGGGTTTCAGTATTGTCTTGTAGATCAGTAATTTGTTTTCACCAGAAAGATTAGATTTTCTATTTAGTAGTCTATATAGCTGACCATATCGTATTTTACTGAATTAGAGAAAATGTAAACTCAACTTAATTGTTCTAAGATTAAAGCTCACCAAACAAGAACCTTTTTTCTGAAAGTGAGATATCTGCAGACCAGTTTGGGGGTTATACAAAAAATCGCGAATTCTTTATTTTATGAAAAATCTAACTGAAGTTTAACTACATAAAAGTCCCCTTTAAATGGTTTAAATAAAAACATGATTTACTTGTGTTTAATTTAAATTTATTCTAGTTTACTATGAAATAACTGGTTGTATCCTAAATTAAATATCTTTTTAGTTACTGATTTTTATTCAACATAAAACGTTGTTGGATTAAAATTTCAAAGTTTAAGTTTCCTTGTTCTTTGTATGTAATTAGACTATCGTTTATGATTACTTTTTATATGTTTTAATATCTTCTATCACATATTATCATTTAAATTAATTTAATGTCAATCTAAACTTCATATCATCATCACGAAATTCTCCATTGATTGTTATCGAATATAATTCTGTTGTATGTGACTTTTTAGAATCATTAAAAGAAAGTAACTTTAAAAAAAAATACCCAAAATTCAAAGACGTATCGTCTATGATTAACAACATCAATTTCATAGTTTGAAGAAATTTTTTCTTTAAATGGAAATACAATAAATATAATCTCATATACAGTTTGTTTCGTAATTGCACGGCGCTATTTTAGTTATGTGTTCACTAACACAAAATAAACAGAACAGTTCATATTAACATATAACTCAAACTTATTTATTATTAACTGATATCAAAGGTTAAAGATTTATTATTTATTTACTACATTAAGACTGACTGTACAAAGTTTAACGTGTTTAATACTAATTAACAGGTTTTAATCACCTGATAAACAAATGAACCATAAGCAATGACAGTAGCAGTGTTGCCGTTTGTACGAGGATCCTCGTATTTGTACGAGGTTATGACGTAATGTACGAGGTACGAGGATAGTCCAGCCTCGTACCTCGTACATAACTTTTGCTGACGTTTGCAATGCAAGGTTATATTTTTATGAATGAAGTTTAGAATTGTTTTTTACGGTTACTTTGACTGTATTATTATTTATGTTGATATGAAATACTGAACTTCTGTTGCTTTATAGACAAATAAATTGCAATTATATCTTCTTTAATTAGAGTATGATTATTATTTCCTTCATAAAACCATGATTGTATATATATGTTGTTTTTTTAATTTCCTAGGAATAAAGAAATTTAAAAAAAAATATTTTAGATTTTATTTAGTATAAAATAAAATATAAGAAACCATATCCATTATTTCCTTCATAAAACTTATTTTATAAATACATATTTTTTTTAAATGTGTTGTAAAAGAAAATTAAACAGAAATTTTTACCGTCTTCGAGCATAAAATGAAATACGAGAAAGTATATCCATTATTTCCTTCGTAATTATCGTTTCTTTCATAAAATTGCAATTGTAAATATATTCGAGATAAATTATTTTTTTTAAAAATGATTACCGTAATTTAAAAAAATTAGTTTCTATTTTTAATCGAGTAAAGTAATCAATTGAAAAATTAACTAGTATTCATAATGAACCCATCGTAAAAAATGAAAAAAAAAGTATTTTTTTCAGAGGTCCACATTCATTTTGTGCAAGACCTAATCGTAAGCTAAATACTGAAACAATCACAATCTATTATTCTTTTTGTATTATAATGGATATCTCTAAAAGCATTAATGCCCAATAATTAATT